AATCATGGGGCCACGGGAGTTGGATCCAGGTCAGGCCGTGGTCGCTGGCCGGTCAGCGCTGGGGAAGGGGTAGCTGATCAGTGCGGCGGGTCCTGAGGCAGCCAGGCCGGCTTCTCTGGTTTTGCCGCTTTTCTGGGCCTGGAGCTGAAACGCACTGAGGCCCGGATGGTGTCTCTCTTTGGCCAACGCTGTCTCTGGGGCCAGCAGAGCCCAGGCTTCCTTCTCTGATGCTGAGCTGGCCCTCGTCTTCCTGAGGCCCTTGGTCCTGAGGGCTGATGGTGGGGCCAGTCCAGGCGAACAGGGGGGCTTTCCACGCTCTCCCACTCGGGCCTCAGGAGCCTTTGTAGACGTGTCCCCGGGTGGCCATGACACGGTAACTGCACAGATGTCCACGTGTCGGGCCCTGGGCTCCCTGCTCATTGTGGGCGGGCGGCCTGGGCATGTGAGTGGGGACACTTGGAGGACGCTGGTGGGTGGAGTGCTGCCCTACAACTGGGTGTCAGAAAGAAAGCGCCAAAGCCAGGTTGTGGCCAAAAGGCACGGGCGGGCCGGTAAACTAAGGGGAAAGCGCCCAGAATAAAGGACAGGCCAGTGCCCGAGTGCGCACAGCGCAGTCAGGAGCCGAGGAAGACGGTGTACCCGCCCTTGGATCTAAGATTTCAGGGAACTGGGCTGGTAAGGCGCCTGGAAGACGGGCGTGGTCGGAAGGTGGGCGTGGCCTGGAGGGGTGGGCGTGGCCTGGAGGGGTGGGCATGGGGAATGGAGAAGTGAGAAGCGCTTGGCCTGGCCAGTCGGGGTGGGCACAGAGGACCCCCCCAGCCAAGGATGGGGACCTGGCTGCCTCCACATCCCCGAGGTGGGGGCCAGCGGGGAGCGGGTCTGAGTCAGGATCCCCAGACTCCGCATGAGCGCTGGGGCGGCAGAGATGCAGCTGGTTATTTAACTCCACGCCCGGCAGTGTCTCCCAGGCTCCTGGGGGCGGCCCTGGGGACACCAGCTGGGGGCAGAGCTGCCACCAAGTGTCCGATGTCCGGTTATTATTCCGATTTCTGTGCCGGCCCGAGGGCCAGGTGGGCGCTTGGGCCTGGGAACAGCCTGCAGGTGCAGGACCAGTGCAGGCGGAGGCCGTGTTCCTGAGCCAGAAACATTCTATTGTTGCATTTAGGAGTGTTTTGAGGACGAGATTTAATTGTTAACCTAAATAATTATGGGTGGAAAGTTACATTATAAAAAGCTATTATAAATACATAATTATATATACTTATGCTAGAGATGACATCATTATATATGTGATCATGTAATTATTAAAATCAGATAAAGTTAATTATGAAAATACCATTTTCTTTTGTTGCATCTCTGCAGCTGGGGAGCCTGGCGGCCGGCACGTGTTCACACACAGGGCCTCCGGGTCTTTTCTGCAGGAACCTGGTCTCCCCACCTGACCCGAGTTCTCCTCGCGGGCGCTCCTGCCGAAGGGCCCAGAGGGAGCGGGGTCCGCCGTCCTGTCCGCTGTGAGGAGCCGACACTTGGGGGAAGGTTTGGTGGGAAGGAGGGGTGCCGGGCCCGGGAGGGTCTTGGCTGTGGTCTGAGATCTTGCTGGGTGTTGAGGAAGCGTGGACCCTGGGATCCAGGCCAGAATGGAGCCCAGCTTCCCATACGCTGCGCCTGGAGAAGTCGGGGCGAGGACAGGGCAGGCTTGGGGGGGACAAGAGGTGTGGCCAGAAGTGGACTCACCAGGCTGTCTCTTAGTTCTTTCTTGGCTGTGTCTCTCTGTCCCTTAATCGTTTCTTGTGCTGTCACAGCTATGTTAGCAGCAGCAGTCGTGTCGGGAGCAGAAAAGCGCTGGGTCCAAGCCAGGCACGTGTTTAAACACTTGGAATAGTTACAACAAACCTTTGAGTGTCTTTATCTTCCAGGGGAGGGCCTGGGCTCAGGTCCACCTGTGTGATTCCTCTTCTCCCTCCTCCCTCCCAATGCCCCCCCCCCCCCGCCCCCCATATAATTGTGGTTCTTGGTGTCTTTGTAACTTTGAAGCTGGTTTGTGGGCTCAAGTGTCCCCTGTCTGGGTTCAGGGCCCAGCACACCCGCTTCCCAGTGATGGGGCTGCCGAGGGCCTCGGTGTGACCACATCCTCATCTGTAAAATGGGGATAGACAGCTGCTGTCCCAGCGGTGAGCGAGCTCAGGGGATGCTGACGTTACCGTTTCCTCCTCTACAAACAGGAGTCGGTGTGCCTCTCCCGCCCCCACCCGTGTTCCCGTCGGCTGGCTGATGTGTGTTTGCTGTGTGTAATTCTCTTCGCTAACCAGCACAGCAGGATGCCACCAGGACTAATCTCTACATCAGGCCTGGTCTTCCAGCCACCGGGGTTTGGTCCTTCCTTGCCCTGGAATGCAGCAGCAGCTGGGACTGCCTACACGCCCTCCCAGGCCTTGACCTGAAATAACTGGGAACCATCCGGAGTCTCAAAGGAGGCAGCAGCCAGGGAGCTGAGCGGGGAGAACCCCTCTGCTGGCTCCTGGCCTCCTCCTCAGGGAGCAGCCACATGGGCAAAAGCTGAGCATTTTCAACGGGACAAAGGGTTTCAAACTTGCTGTGTTGTATCGGGGAGATGTGGGGCACAAGTCTTGTCTGTTGGGAAGGGCTCACTGCACACACACCTCTGGGGAGACAGCAGGGGCCCTGGCCTCCGTGTGGGCTGGGGCTGGAGCGGGTGGAGGGCGCTGGTAAGTTAGGGGTCAGGGCTGCGGGGAGGGGAGGGAGGGAGGGGAGGGGAGGGGAGGGGAGGGGAGGGGAGGGGAGAAACCGGTTTCTGTGAGGTTCTCGCCAGATCTGATGTGGGGCGGACCCAGGGGGTGTGCTCTCTGCCGCCTTTAAACCCTGAGATTTCACATTCGTGTGGGAAGAGGGGCAGCCACTCCCTCTCTCCTGTGTCCCCAGCAACTCCGTCCTCTGCTTTGAACAAATGCTGACACGTCCATTTAGATTTATTCTGGGGTCTGGGGTCGGAATATAATGGCGGCGCGGGGGGGCTGGGTTAAAACCTAGGGTGTCCGCCCTGCCTGCCTTTGTGGTCACGGGAATGTCCATGAGAGCGGACAGGCTTCGAAAGGCCGCCGAAGCCTGGGCACCTGTGAGTCCGCTGCCCCCCCCCCCCCCCCCAGGAGGTGGGTGTGCGCCTGAGCGCAGGATTGTCCCTGCGGGCCCCCTTACCCGGAACCAAGCACAGGGGATTCTGGGAAATGTAGTTCTGCGCTCCCTAAGGAACAGGAGACAAAACCACAGGAGGAATTTCACCTTTTCCTCTATATCAGCGGTTCTCAACCTGTGGGTCGCGACCCCTTTGGGGGTCGAACGACCCTGTCACAGGGGTCACCTAAGACCATCGGAAAACGCATATATAATTACATGTTGTTTTTGTGATTAATCACTATGCTTTAATTATGTTCAACTTGTAACAATGAAAATACATCCTGCATATCAGATATTTACATGACGATTCATAACAGTAGCAAAATTACAGTGATGAAGTAGCAACGAAAATAATTTTATGGTTGGGGGTCACCACAACATGAGGAGCTGTATTAAAGGGTCGCGGCATTAGGAAGGTTGAGAACCACTGCTCTATGTAGTTCCGGACAGTGTGACTCTGTGTGTGTGTGTTTGTGTGTGTATAAATTTGGTGAAAAAAAACAGTTAAAACCTTGTGTTGAGGGGGCCGCTCACAGCCTACTGAGATGAGTGAGGAGCCAGGCCCTCCACTGTCTCCTGGTCCCAGTAACATCCCTGCATCCAGGGCCCTGCAGTGCCTCCCCAGGGACTACCCTGCTTCTGCCCAGCTCCTCCCATCTTCACGTTATACCGCCCCCCCCCTCACCCCCCCCCCCCCCCCCGGCCCACACACACATCCCTTCAGCCAGAGAGGCCTTTCCAGAAGCCACACTGTGCTGTGGGTGCAAGGACAGCTCGCTGGCTTCTTTGGGAAGCCACCCCTCCCTCTGCTGCAGAAGCCGCCCTGTGCCTCTGTGGGTCTGTCTCTCCACCCTCCCCGGCCCCTTCGGGACCACAGCCTTCGGTGCTATGAACCCCAGGCGGCTCCTCAGTGGCCGCCTGCTGCAGGCAGCGTCTCTGCACAACCCCCTCTAACACCCACGGCATCTCTACAAGCTCCTCCTGACCCTACTTACAATCCAGGATGGACGCGGAAGGGACAGGGAAACAGACCGAAGGTTTCCGGCCAGCAAGCGACACGCCGGGCTGCAGCTGGGATGTGTCTGACACTCAGCACCCATCCGTCCTGGGACAGGTGTCTCCTGTCCCTGCACAGCAGCCCAGAAGGGTAGGAGCCTGATGTTTCATCTGCTGTCACTCCCAGTCCCTGGCATCACGCCTGCACACAGTAGGTCCCCGCCTGCGCACAGTAGGTCCCGGGTGTGTTGAGAGCGCCGTGCTGGGTCCTGGAATTGAGCTGGGTAGGGGACCATGCAGCACAGTCCCTGCCTGCTGGGATTGTCGACAGCAGGGACACACTCTCAGGCTGCATCCGGGGCTGGGATAGGCGCTACGAAGGGCCCTGGGGAGCGTGTGACACAGGGGCATGGCCTGGCCTGGGCCGGGAGAAAGCTTGGGTGCTCCGTGTTCTCTGATGGCGCTTATAAGGATCCCATCAGTCCTCTCCTGGCGTGTTAAGAATTCCGTACATCATTTCAGGCTGCCTCTCGGAGCTCTGTAAACAGGCATGAATTCTGATGGGGTTGGGCTTTCTGATTTATTTTTCCCAAGGAACTTAATCAAGTCATGCAAGTGCCTTATCTTTTCAACGCTCCTCTCCTGCCCTGGAGACTGTCCTGGAGCCATCCTCGTTCTTCCTTCTGCTTCTGGGCCCTCCCGGGGACGGGTCCGGGGGCTGATCCGAAGCCTGGCCCCAGCAGTGGCTCCCGCAGAGCGGCCTGGGCCGCAGAGGTGCGTGGGGTCAGCGTCTGCCTTGTGGTTTGTTGCAGAGCTGGTGATGCTGCTGGAGTGGTGGTCGGGCACGGAGTGCGTCATCTACACGGACCCCCGGGCCTACCCCACGTTCGGGAAGGAAAACGCCATCGTGGTTCTGAACCACAAGTTTGAGATCGACTTTCTCTGCGGCTGGAGCCTGGCTGAGCGCTTCGGGGTTCTGGGGGTAAGTTGGACGCCCGCTTGCCTTCCTGACACATGTCTCTCGGTCGCACCCTGACTTGCCTTTGGCTCTCGGTCATGCAGAATTTGCAGCAGCATTAACGGGTTCAGCTGGAGGTGCTGCTTTTAACCGAAGGTTTTTCCTTTTGAACGAAGAGGCGCTTCCTCCTGTAATATCGATCCGTGGTGACTGTGTGGTAGGCCGTGGATCACAGGCTGTTGATTTAAGCCTCCAGACACAGGCATGAGTAGGCAGGACACACCCACCTTTCTGCAACGCTGAGTTCAGATCTCCTGCTCAGGATCACACTGCCACTCAGCGGGTTTGGGGTTGAAGTCCTCTGGTTTGATGCCACTTCATATTCTTTATTTTTAAAATACGTTTTTATTGATTTGAGAGAGAGAGAAAAAAACGTCAATCCGCTGCCTGCTACACACGCCACACTGGGGATCAAGCCTGAACCGGGGCATGTGCCCTGAACAGGAATCAAACCAGCAACCTCCTGTTTCACGGGACAACACGAAACCAACAGAGCCACACCAGCATAGCAACATTTCATAGTCTTTTTAAAATATATTTTTATTGATGTCAGAGAGGAAGGGAGAGGGAGAGAGAATAGAATCATCAATGATGAGAGAACCATTGATCGGCTGCCTCCTGCACGCCCCACACGAGGGATGGAGCCTGCAACCTGGGCATCACCTTTATTCAGGGCTCAGCAGTGCCTCTGTCTCAGGTGACCTTCAAACAGATCACCTGACTCCCCTCCTGTAGGACTAGCACGTGAGGCTGTGATTCTCTGATTCTCTGCGGGGGGCAAAGGGGGACGGACTTCTTTTCCTTTCCGAGGAGGTGGAGGCCCCTGACCGGCCTTCTTCGCCTCCAAGGGAGCGGCCGAGAGGGAGGGGGTTCCAGGAAGCAACTGGCATTTGCAGACACTCTTGGGTGTGGGCCGCGTGGGCCTGGCGGTCTGTCCCCTGGCATTTCACAGTGGGACCAGGGCTCGGCCATGATCTCTGAGAAAACACCGACTGCTCCCTCCTGTCGGTGCGATGACCTGTGGGCTCTGGGAGCAGGTCAGGAAAGTGCCCAGCAAACGCCATGTGTGTGTAGAGGGTCCAGGTGTTGGAAGCTGAGCGGCCTGCTTGCCTGTCCTTCTGCCCCAGTAACGTGCCTGAGGCCCGAAGGTCCCCGCAGATCCCGTTCGCCGGCCTCTGAGGGGCGCGGGGCCGTGAGTGGTGAGCACTCCACACGGTAGCTTCGTCAGTGTTTCCCCGGGAGGTGTGGCTGGTTGACCCGGGGCCGCTGGGCTGTTTTTTAAGATCTTGGGAGAAGCCACCAGGATCCCTGATCAGTGGCTGTAGGGCAAGCCCCAAACTTGGCCTGACTCCAGGCCCGGCCCGGGGTCCTGGCAGGCGTCTCACCGTTGAGTCCGGCCGCCTCCCCTCACCCCGCGGCTCACCGGGCGTGGGAGCTGCCCCCAGGCTCGCCCACGGACCTGTGGGGACCTGTGCGTCTGCCCTCAGACCTGGCCCTCCTGGCGTCCCTGGTCCTGGCGTCCGGCTCCCTCTAGGGCAGGAGAGGGAGGAAGCACTCAGGGCCCACCCCACGGCCGCGGGTGACCGACGGGCCTCATTCTGCGTGAGGACGCGTGTGAGCCACGTGTGGGCCCACGGTGTGAGTGCCTGCAGGCAGGCCCCGGCCAGCGTGGAGGCCGCCGGCCACACCCCGGGCTGCCTGTGAGGCCTCACGCCTTCCAAGCCTCCCGAGGGTCCCCACTCAGACACCTCGCGAGTTTGTAGGAACAAAGGAACCTGGTGAACCAGGACTGACGGGGACGCCGAGGTCCAGCCTCAGAGGCGCCTCCTGCGTGGAGGTTCGGCCTCGGCCCGGGCCGTCCTGCTGACTCCGCAGCCCCCGCGGGACCTGGTCCGAGGTTCACTCCGGCCCGGCCCGGGCTGTGAGCGTGGGCAGCGTGGGCCCTGCAGGGCGGCCCGGCTGAGGAGTGAGAGAGGTCACGGCTCCTGATGCGCTCAGCGAGCGGGGACTGCGGCGATCACTGCAGACCCTTGGCCGTGGCCTCCAGGCCCTCAGGGTTCCTGCCGGTCCCTGGGCCTGCTCCACACGCCCTCCCCCCACCCCCCCAGCTCCCCGGGCACCAGCACAGCCTGGACCTCCAGCCCACGGCGGGCGGGTGCTCCGTGCCCCCCTGTGCTCTGGGCTGTCCCCTTCGGCCCTTGGGGCGAATGGCCACGCCTCCTTCTCTAGCTGTTCCCCTCCCTGACCTGGCCCTCGGTTTCAGGGCTCCAAGGTGCTGGCCAAGAAGGAGCTGGCCTACGTGCCCATCATCGGCTGGATGTGGTACTTCACCGAGATGGTCTTCTGCACGCGCAAGTGGGAGCAGGACCGCAAGACCGTCTCGCAGAGCCTGCTGCACCTCCGCGACTACCCCGAGAAGTACTTCGTACGTGGGCCCCGCGCCGCCCCGCGCCCAGCAGCCTGAGCGAGCAGCCCGGCGTGTCCCACACCTGCCCGGCCGCCCGCCTGCTGCCCGCCCCACTGTGTGCACACTGCCCGCCCCACTGTGCGCACACTGCCCGCCCCACTGTGCGCACGCTGCCCGCCCCACTGTGTGCACAACACCTCTGTCCTCCTTCATCTGAACTTACTGTGTGGCAAGAAACCCCGGGATGCTATTGTCAGACACACTCAGGATTCTCTCTCTCTCTCTCTCTCTCTCTCTCCCTCCGTCTGCCCCTCTCCCTCTCCATCTTTCTCTTTCTCTCCCCCGCTCTCTCTCTCATATACACACACACACACATACACACACTCATCATACTATTGTCTCTCTCACACACACTTAGAATACTCTCTCTCTCTCTCTCTCTCTCTCTCTCTCTCTTTCTCTCTCTCTCTCTCACACACACACACACACACACACACACACACACACACACCCCGGCAGCCAGGTGTCCTGCCCTGAGCTGTCAGCGGAGGATGGCCGACTCTGGGTTCACCCTGAGGACAGGTGGAGACAGTTGCCAGGCTACCCCCTCTGGCCATGCCCAAAGCCTTCTGGGTCCCTGCGTGTGACTCTGCATGGGATGGGGTGGGGGGTGTGCCTGTGGGACGGGTGTGACCCAGGTCCCTGCGTGTGACCGCGTGGGCTGGGGGCATGGGCCTTCCGACAGGAGTGACCCGGGTCCCTGTGTGTGACCGTGTGGGCTGGGGGCGTGGGCCTGCAGGACGGGAGTGACCCGGGCCCCTGCGTGTGACCGCGTGGGCTGGGGGTGTGGGCCTGCAGGACGGGAGTGACCTGGGTCCCTGTGTGTGACCGTGTGGGCTGGGGGCGTGGGCCTGCAGGACGGGAGTGACCCGGGCCCCTGTGTGTGACCATGTGGGCTGGGGGCGTGGGCCTGCAGGACGGGAGTGACCCGGGTCCCTGTGTGTGACCGTGTGGGCTGGGGGCGTGGGCCTGCAGGACGGGAGTGACCCGGGCCCCTGTGTGTGACCGCGTGGGCTGGGGGCGTGGGCCTGCAGGACGGGAGTGACCCGGGCCCCTGTGTGTGACCGTGTGGGCTGGGGGCGTGGGCCTGCAGGACGGGAGTGACCCGGGTCCCTGTGTGTGACCGTGTGGGCTGGGGGCGTGGGCCTGCAGGACGGGAGTGACCCGGGTCCCTGTGTGTGACCGTGTGGGCTGGGGGCGTGGGCCTGCAGGACGGGAGTGACCCGGGTCCCTGTGTGTGACCGTGTGGGCTGGGGGCGTGGGCCTGCAGGACGGGAGTGACCCGGGCCCCTGTGTGTGACCGTGGGGGCTGGGGGCGTGGGCCTGCAGGACGGGAGTGACCCGGGCCCCTGTGTGTGACCGTGTGGGCTGGGGGCGTGGGCCTGCAGGACGGGAGTGACCCGGGTCCCTGTGTGTGACCGTGTGGGCTGGGGGCGTGGGCCTGCAGGACGGGAGTGACCCGGGCCCCTGAGTGTGACCGCGTGGGCTGGGGGCGTGGGCCTGCAGGACGGGAGTGACCCGGGCCCCTGTGTGTGACCGTGTGGGCGGGGGGCGTGGGCCTGCAGGACGGGAGTGACCCGGGTCCCTGTGTGTGACCGTGTGGGCTGGGGGCGTGGGCCTGCAGGACGGGAGTGACCCGGGTCCCTGTGTGTGACCGTGTGGGCTGGGGGCGTGGGCCTGCAGGACGGGAGTGACCCGGGTCCCTGTGTGTGACCGTGTGGGCTGGGGGCGTGGGCCTGCAGGACGGGAGTGACCCGGGTCCCTGTGTGTGACTCTGCATGGGATGGGGTGGGGGGTGTGCCTGTGGGACGGGAGTGACCCGGGCCCCTGCGTGTGACCGCGTGGGCCGGGGCGTGGGCCTGCGGGCGGGAGTGACCCGGGTCCCTGCGTGTGACCGCGTGGGCCGGGGCGTGGGCCTGCGGGCGGGAGTGACCCGGGTCCCTGCGTGTGACTGCGTGGGACGGGGCATGGGCCTGCGGGCGGGAGTGACCGGCCCGTGTGCGGCTGTCCCCTCAGTTCCTGATCCACTGTGAGGGCACGCGCTTCACGGAGAAGAAGCACCGGATCAGCATGCAGGTGGCCCAGGCCAAGGGGCTGCCCAGCCTCAAGCACCACCTGCTGCCGCGCACCAAGGGCTTCGCCGTCACTGTGCGGAGCCTGAGAAATGTAGGTAAGGAAGCTCCGCCCCCCCCAGCCCCCCCCACCCCCCGGGAGGGAACCGCCCGCACTCCACAGGCACAGCCGCGCCCTTGGCCAGGCCTCCAGCTCACGGTGGCAGCCGGTGGGAGGGGAGGGGACAAGGACGGCACCTCCCTGGTGGCCAGGGACCAGGCACCTGGTGTGGGCGGTGTGGCCGCTGCCTGCATGCCTGAGCACACAGTCTCTCTCTCTCTCTCTCTCTCCCCCCCCCCCCCCCCCACACACACACTCTGAGGCAACACTGCCCTCCACTGCTGGGCACCAGTACTGCAAGGCCGTGGCCCTGGGGAGTCCTGGGTCCGCCCTTGGGTCCGGTGTGGCCCACACCCTGTCTGCCCGGTTAGACCAGGTGGTGGTTTTGGGGGGTTTTTCCTTTTTTTTTTTATTTCAGAGAGGAAGGGAAAGGGGAAGAGAGAGAGACACATCCATGATGAGAGGGAATCATTGATCGGCTGCTTCCTGCACGTCCCCTACTGGGGATCGAGCCCACAACCCGGGCATGTGCCCTGGACTGGAATCAAACCCGGACCCTTCAGTCCGCAGGCCGGTGCTCTATCCACCGAGCCACACCAGCCGGGGCCCAGGTGGTTGTTTTGCTTTGCGTTTCCTGCTCCTCTGCCGGTACCTGCTGCCCCGAGGATGCACGGTGACTGGTCACCTGAGTTTGGGCCTCAGCCCGCTCGGTGAGAGTAAGAGGGAAGTAGCAGTGATGGCCCAGCCTTGTCACAGCTTCCTGCCTCCTGCTCAGCCCGCCCCTCAGGTCAGAAACCCCATGCTTTCCTGCCATGCACCAGCCACCCCCGCCCCCCCCCCAAAAAAACCCAAAAAACCCTGCCCCTCGTCTCCGCGGGGACCTGGGCCGCTCGGCTGTGTGCGGGGTCAGGCTGGGCACTGACCGGAGGGAGAGACACAGCCGGACGAACGTGGCTCTGTCCACACGGCCTCGCTCTTTGGCCTGGTCCTCAGGCCTCCTCTGCACCCCACGACGCCCCCAGCTGCTCAGGGTCAGGGCCAGGCGGCGGGTGTGGACAGCAGGGCATTTAAAATCCCGTCCTTGTGTGCTTCTCAGCCAAGTGTCGAGGGACCGCAGCTCAATTCCTTCAGAATCCCCGGTGTCTTGGCCCAGCGCAGAGCTGCCCGCCTTCCCGGGGACACGCCCTGGGGGCTGAGCTGCCCTCGCCCGGGCCCAGCACGCCCCCAGGGCGCCCCCTTCGCTGGTTCCTCTCCCGCTGCCACGTGCGGGGGCGGTGGGGCGCGCCTGGGGGGGGGGGGGCCACGGCTCGGCACTCCTCCGACCCCGGGAGCGTCCGCTTTCCATCGCTGAGTCTCAGGGTGCCTTTCGGGTTCCAACACGTGGCACGCGTCACACCGAGCTGCGGCCGGGACGGGAAGGCGCAGAGGAGCCGCGGCCCGCGCCCCGCCTTCACCCGCTCGCGCTCCGCGCACTGTTTCCCGCGTGTGTGTCTGCGCGACAAGCCTGGGCTCACGCTCTATACTGCTCTGTATTTGTTTTATTTTTTATAGTTTCAGCTGTATATGACTGTACACTCAATTTCAGAAACAATGAAAACCCCACCCTGCTGGGCGTCCTGAACGGCAAGAAATACCACGCAGACATGTATGTCAGGTGAGTGGCCACGCCCCTTCCAGGGAAGACCACGTCCACCCGCGGCCCCGCTTCCCCTTCTGGGACTGGCCTGATGCCCCCTGGTCCGCAGCCTGTGCTGGACCCAACGTGTCCCCGGCCGCAGTCACATGATGCCCTCACGGACCACCCCCCTGTCCCGCTGTCAGTGCCGGCCGGCCAGGGCTCCCCGCTGGTCCTCCCTCGCCAGCCCTGGCCGTGGAGCTCAGGCCGGACAAACGGACACCAGCATTCACAGCCATTGGGAGACGAGTGTGAGGGCTGTTTTGTGGAGCCCCTCCTGGAGGATGTGTCCACTGCGCACACAGACAGACACGTGCACATGCCGTGGCCTCTCACGTGTGTGCGGAGCCCAGGGTTTAGACACCAGCGCAGTCGCCTCTGAGCAGCTTGCAGAGGGGCGGCCGCGCCTGCCACCTCGGCAGGATTAGCGGAAACAATGAAGACGCAACCGTGTGATTCACGGGTTGAGGCCCCACGTGGTGACCCCGGGGGGTGCGGCTCGGGGACAGGGTTTTAGCGGCAGATTGTAGTCCCAGAAGGTCTGCACCGCCACAGCTGGAGACCAGCCAGGTTTTGTAGAACAAGGTTATCGCTTCACGGCCTCACGGATGCTCAGTGGCACAGGCCGGAGAAGCGCAGAGCTTGAGCCCTTCCCCCCAACACACACACACACACCGGCTGCAGGAAAAGCTCGCTTTCCTGATGGACCCACAGCCTCAGTTAAACCGTTTTCTATCTCAGAGCAACTCCGGTTCCCCCTTAATGGGGAAGAAGCATCACCATTAGGGCTGATTCCTTTGTAAACCCTGCAGGGGACCGCCCCCCTTATCACCTAGTGGGAAGCCCTAGGAGGGGGAGGGGGCGAGCAGCAACCCCCCCCACCCCCCAGGGGAGGCCTCCCAGTGTTGAGGCGAGGCCTGTCCCCCTAGTCCAGTGATGGCGAACCTTTTGAGCTCGGCGTGTCAGCATTTTGAAAAACCCTAACTTAATTCTGGTGCCATGTCACATATAGAAATTTTTTGATCTTTGCAACCATAGTAAAACAAAGACTTATATTTTTGATATTTTATATATTTAAATGCCATTTAACAAAGAAAAATCAACCAAAAAAATGAGTTCGTGTGTCACCTCTGACACGCGTGTCATAGGTTCGCCATCACTGGTCTAGTCCCTTCAGCACCTGCACTTGGGCCAGCGGGGCCGGGGCCGGGGCTGGGGGAACCCCCTGCAGGATGTGAGCCATCTCGGAGGGGGGCCATCTTGGAGGGAGCCATCTCGGAGGGGAGCCATCTCGGAGGGGGGCCATCTCGGAGGGGAGCCATCTCGGAGGGGGGCCATCTCGGAGGGGGGCCATCTCGGAGGGGAGCCATCTCGGAGGGGGGCGCAGGAGTGAGGAGGAAGCAGCCCCTTCGCACCATCCGCCCTCTGGGAAGGCCCTCGTGCGTGAACACTCACCTCCTTGCTCTGCAGGCCCCTTAGTTAGAAATGATGGAGCGTGTCCGCGCTGCACCCAGCCCCTGCCAGCACCAGCGGGGGGGCGAGGGGAGGGCGGGGGGCTCTTGAGCCCTGCGGCTGGGAATCCCGGTTTCTCCCCGGAAGCATTCGTGCCCCCAGACACATGTCCTTGTAGCAGCAGAACCGCACAGAGTCTGCCCCGTCGCTCCCCGAGCCCTGGGCCTCGTTTTATGGGAGACGCCCTGCTGGTGGCATCACGCTGGTCCCTGGCAGACAGCGCAGTCGGCCCGCTTCTGTGTGGCCTGGGCGGGCTCCTGTGGAACCTGAGGCAGTGCGCCCTCTCGGGGGTGGGGGGTGGGGGTGGGGGGATGGAGAGGCCCCGTCCCCTGGTCATCCTCCCGAGGCCATGACTGCCTTCTGGCCGGTGTGTCCCCAGAATGGATGTGGATGCCCTTCCCATTTCCCAGCAGCTGGGGGACCCCTTCCCGGCCTTGGGTCCCTGTGTGGGAGCCCAGGGACACCCCGTCACTGCAGCCGTGCGGGCGCGGGCCCAGCTCTCCTCTCCTCCTTGCAGGCGGATCCCCCTGGAGCAGGTCCCGGAGGACGAGGACCAGTGCTCGGCCTGGCTGCACAGGCTGTACCAGGAGAAGGTCAGTGCTGCGGGGCTCAGCCCCCGTTTCTAGCTGTGCTGTGGGTGCACGGGGGTGCTCAGTGGGTGCCCCGTGGGTGCACGGGGTCCCCTGGGAGTTGGTGGTGGTGGCGAGCTTTGCCATTGGCTGAGGTCTCGGACCCCAGCTTAGCAGCAGGGACAGAGCACAGCAGACACTTCCTCGGGGGGCGTCACGGACAGAAGGGTGCATGTTCTGGGTGCAGTGGACAGGAAGGGACGTACTGGCTTCGACGGCCCTTGTCTGTTGTCCTGGGGGCGAGGTGTCCCGTGAGCAGTGCACGATCCCGGGGCGCCCGGGCCCACAGTCTGGTCTCCCAGCGCCGCCGCATAAGCAGTAAGCACCGGGGTTCACTGTGGCGGGTGTGATCTCTGCAGCGTGCCCCCATCGTGCTCCAGCTCCCCAGGGCCCCCCACTTTCCTTTTCCTTCCACGGCTCTCTCTCCTTTGAGCACAGGGCAGAGGGAGTCTGATCATTCTTGTCCAAACTGCTCCGACTCACGGGAGGTGAAGAGCCAGCTTCTACCTGGTGAGGAAGGCAAATATGTTTTTTACAATATAAATCCATTGGTTTCTTGTCAAGCAAGATTTTTGGTGGTTTTTTTTTAATATATATTTTTTATTTTTTTATCTCAGAGAAGAAGGGAGAGGGAGAGAGAGATAGAGACATCAATGATGAGAATCACTGATCACCTGCCTCCTGCACACCCCACACTGGGCGAGGAAGGCATTTTTATGACCAAGTCTCACCACCCAGCAAACACGTAGTTCTGATCCATCGTACACTGTCAGCCCAAACCAGCTCACTATCTAGAATCCCATGGATTCGGATGTCCTCACGCTAGGAAGGCAGGCCCGGCGTCTGCTGCCTTTCCCCCGGCTCCTCATGAGAAGACATCGCGTGGGGCTCCGGGGCCTCCGCCACCGGAGACGAGAACTGCCATCTGGTCGGAGCCTGCTGTAGGGTGTGGGTCCAGGCTGCGCCACCAGGTTCCGCAGACACGGGTAGCTCGGGTTTGGAATGAAGGTCCCAACCATCCCTGCATGAAGTCGCTTCCGTGTGCCCCAAGGGCGTGACTTTCCCAGGTGCCTTTCAGCCGCCGGTCCCAGCTCTCGCCGTGTTGGTCTCTTCTCCGCTTGGGGTCTGGGCACACCTGTCACCAGCATGGCACCCGGGCACCGGGGCCTCGAGCTCCGATTCCTCCAGGGGGTGACTCGGAGTCGCATTTCCAGGGCAGCGGCTTCAGACCAGAGGGTGAGGGCCAGGTTTTTAACACGACTCCAAGGCCCGCCTGGGTCCGACAGGAACGGGGAGCCATCCTTTCCCTCTGGCTCCCGCACAGGGCAGTGTGTTCCTGCTGCTGTTTTCCAGTTGAATCAGTTGGCGGTAGAGAAAATGTCACTGTTAGAAAAATGCGCTCAGAAAAGGCCCAAGAAATGAATCCTTTTGTAAAGAGCCACAAATACAAACCCACGGCAGATGCATCCCCAACAACATCGGGCAAAGGGGACTGTTCTCCAGCGCACACCTATGCTGAGGCGGGAGCGGGCTCTCCATCAGCCCACTGATATCAAGGCACAATTTCCTGAGATAACACCTCAAGGTTTAGCCCTGGCCCCAACCATAACCCTAAACCTAACCCTAGTCCTAGCCCTGGCCCCAACCATAACCCTAAACCTAACCCTAACACTAGCCCTAAACCTAACCCGAATCCTAACCCTAACCATAATGCTAGTCCTAACCCTAAACCTAAACTTAGTGATAACCATAACCATAACCCTAACACTATCCCTAATCCTAACCCTAACCCTAACCCTAGACCTAATGTTAAACCTAGCCCTAACCCTAAACCTAACCCTAAACCTAACCCTAGCACTAACCATATCCTAACCCTAGTCCTAGACCTAACCCTAACCCTAGTCCTATTCCCTAACCCTAGCCCTAGCTCTAACCCTAGCTCTAAACCTAACCCTAACCCTAGTCTTAGCCCTAAGTCTAACCCTAGCCCTAACCCTAGTTCTAAGCTTAACCCTAACCCTAGTCCTAGTCCTAACCCTAACCCTAACCTGCACATTCTCTCCTTTGTTGCCTGAGACGAGTGACTGATCGCACAGGTATCAGCATAAAAAGGCTGCTGAAACCGGTTTGGCTCAGTGGATAGAGCGTTGGCCTGCGGACTGAGAGGTCCCAGGTTCGATTCCGGTCAGGGGCATGTACCTGGGTTGCGGGCACATCCCCAGTAGGAGATGTGCAGGAGGCAGCTGATCGATGTTTCTCTCTCATCGATGTTTCTAACTCTCTATCTCTCTCCCTTTCTCTCTGTAAAAAATCAATAAAATATATTTAAAAAAAAAAAAAAAAAAAAAAAAAAAAAGGCTGTTGAATCAAGAACTGAAGTTCCGTTTGACAACCAAGACATTTTCCCATGAATCACTTGGTTGAGGACATAACTTTTCGAGAAGGGAGGCATTCCAGAATGGAGGTTTGACTACTGGTTGGCATTTGGGGGTCCTGCTGGCTGAGCGGGGTGGGCTCTAAGAAGCCGTTCACACCCCGACGTGATCCTTAGGGACCAAAGCCATTCCCAGGTCAGCACCTGGGAACCTGTAAACCGAGACCCACCTGGGGACAGAGAAGGGTTCTGTGGCGCGACCTCAGGGTGGCCTCACAAATCCTAATGGGCAGGTTGTGGCGGTCACGCCCAAACCTCCGACTCTAGTGCAAGGCCATCGGGCGTAAGCAAGCCCGTTCATTGTTCTGTGCATCTAGGTCTACACGCCTTTGGAATAAACCACCCTGAGAGCACCTGATCTTGTTAACTATCCCGTAACCCATCCCACCTGCCTCCGCCTCCAGACCGTCCCCCTCCCCCTCCGCCCAGCGCACTGAGTGCCCACTGCCGTCCTGGGGCCTTGCTCTGTCTGCAGAGCTCCTGCTTCCGGCACGCCCTCCGTTTGACTCAAATACCTGTTCATAAACGTTCCCTGCAGCCTTGGTGTCCTTAGCCGCACACCTTTCCCCAGAGCCTTCCCAGTTCCACGTCTCCTTTCTGACAGCACCTCCTGGGCTGCAGGCTAGCTTGCGAAGGGATTGGAAACGAGCCGCTAATGGTGAAAATGACAGTGGGTGAAGGCCAGCTCCGCTGCCTTGGGGTGTGTTGAGCGGCTCTGGGAGGGGTGCAGAGCGGGGCCGGGGGTCAGAGACCTGTCAACTGGAATTCACTGCTCAGCGTGTGGAGGCTGGGTGGGCAGGAGTCCGCGCTCAGGGTGCCATCAGCCACCGTCTGACTCTGGCCCTGGCCCTCGTCCTCACAGAGGGAGGGAGGGAGCTCCCTGGGGTCTCCTTGATAAGGGCGCTAGCCCCAATCCTAAGGGTGCACCCCCAAAGGCCCCACCTCCTAAAACCATCACCTCAGGGGTTAGGCTTCAGCTTATGAGCTCTAGGGGGACACCTCAGCCCTTTGTACCCTCCACCTAGTTACCAGGCTCCTGGGGGCCCCCCCAGGCTGAGGAAAACCCCCCGCGTTTGGGCAGGGCAGTGGCATGAGGGGCCTCCCACACCTCACTGTCACCGCCTGGTAAGACTGTCTAGGCGGCCAGTCCTGGCGGGGAGGGGCTCTCGGCACAGGCGCCCCTTGTCCTGTAACTGCTCGATGACTTGATTTCCCGAGGACTCCCCACTTCCCACGGCTGCTCGCCGGGCTGGGAAGGGCGGAGGGAGGCCCTGATCTCCCGGGGAGAGGGCAGGGGTTCCCCCGCAATGACGCTGAGTGGTGAAGGACACGTTACCCCTGATGCCGCACCCCGACTGGGAAAGGAGAGAGTGCCATGCACCTCAGCCGTCTCTGTCTCAAGTCGTTAAAGGAAACACCCAGGTCCTGAAGTCGAGGGAGGCGTTTCCCAGAAGCCTCGGCTCTTGGAGAACCGGGACTTCCAGGGCAGGCGGGCGCGGGCACCCACCGTGCCAGCCCGGGGCCCCGAGGACATTGAACGAGCTGCGGGCTTAGGGAACACGGGTAATGAGAGACAGACCCCGTGGCTGTGTGGCGCTGAGCCGAGGTTGTTGCTGGCCCTGGCTCTCCCGGCTGCGGGCACCCTGGGTGGCGGCGCCCGGAGCCCCAGTCCTGCGCTCAGCTGTGGCTCTGGGTGTGCTGCTCGCTCACCTGCAGGCACAGCCGTGGGCCCACCCCTCTCACTGCGGGGCCGCCATCCTCGGGCGCTGCTGGGCCCGCTCCAGGCTGCGCACACAGCGGGGCATTGGGACGCGGACGCGGGACTCCGGGCGTTGGTCCCGGTGGGCCGTCCGATGGGCATCTGCTCAAGGCCCGCAGGAGCCTGTGGGCCTTTGTGGCGTCTGGAGTCACGGAGTCACTAGACGCTGAGGGAGGAGGGAGGAGGGAGGCCCAGCAGCAAAGCCGCGGTGCTGGCCTGGGCACCGTCCTCGGCACCGTCCTCCCACTGGTTCTCCCGCGGGGTCTCTCCTCCGCGCCCCGTGGAGCCCCGAGCAGGGAGGCGAGGCGCAGTAGGCATCCTGGGGCAGGGCTGCGGCTCCCGGTGTGGGACACAGGTCGGCACCCCACCCTCTTCCACGGGTCACTGAGGGCCGGTTCTCCTTCCCCACCCACCTGTGAGGATGGCATTCCTGCCCAGCGGTTGGGGCCGCAGCCTGGTCACCTGCCCAGGTCGTGTAGGCAGCAGGGAGCAGAGCAGGATGGACGGGGGCCAGCCTGGACTCGGTGACGAGCTCCAGGTGGCACCGTGGGGAGGGACAGCCCATTAGGTGCCTGCAGGAGCCTTCTGTGGGGTGCTGACCCCAGCCCATGCGTCCACGGGCCCCTGGGAGCGGGCCTCGGGGGCCTGCAGGAGCCGGAGGTGTCAGCAGAGCACTCAGGTCCCTCTCTGTCCCCAGGACGCCTTCCAGGAGGAGTACTACCGGACGGGCACTTTCCCCGAGACGCCCATGGTGCCCTCGAGGCGGCCCTGGACGCTGCTCAACTGGCTCTTCTGGGCCTCGCTGCTGCTCTACCCCTTCTTCCGCTTCCTCGTCAGCATGGTCAGCAGCGGGTCCTCCCTGACGCTGGCCGGCTTTGTCCTCGTCTTCTTTGTGGGTAAGTGGCTGGCGGTGCAGGTTGAGGGGGAACAGCTCAGTGGGTGTGGGGTGCTTGAGGGGCGCAGCCTGCAGGCTGCCAGGGAAAACACAACTCCAGGCCCCATCCACCGAGCCCCGGGGTTAGGGAGGCGTGGCTGCCTCAGGCGCAGGGACACGGCCTCTGGGCAGGACAGCCTGGTCCCAGCTCCCAGCTCCCTTGGACACAGGCTCCCCTGGGCTCCTCCACTTCCTCTGTGGGCCAGTCCTGCGGCCGAGGAAAAGCTTTGGGGGGAGGGGGGGACGTGGAACTCTGCCTGTTCACGGCTCTAATACTTGCCCCCAGCAATGGGGAGGTGCCGGGCACTCTATGTCTGAGCTCCCACTCTCCAAGCTCCAGTATGGGCCTTACTAAGCTCCCCTGAAGGGTGTCCCCCAGTCCCACCCTGAGTCACCAGACTCTTGTGCCTTCCGGAAGCCCACGTGCAGGGCCAGGCTTGCCACCTGATCTCATGTGGAGGCTCAGACCCTCGGCCAACACAGCCCGGCCGTCCCTCTGTGGCACTTGGTCCAGCCGGCGCTGTGCCCGCGCTCCCGGAGAACCAGTCAGCTCTGCTGGTGCCAACAGGTGTGCGGACAGTGGCGGAGTCCCCGCAGCCTCCTCACACCCTGCCCTTCCCCTGCAGCTTCCATGGGGGTTCGATGGATGATCGGTGTGACGGAGATCGACAAAGGCTCCGCCTACGGCAACATGGACAGCAAGCAGAGACAGAGGGACTGACTCAGGACACGCTCCGTCCAGAGTGGACCTTGGGGAGCGGGTGGGCGCTGTCCCTCCCGGTGCGACCCAGCGAGGGCGCTGGGGGAGTCCCTGCTGGGAGGCAGGGCCTGTTCTCACGCCGCCGGATGGATGGGGCAGAAGACGTCCTTCCCCGTGTGCAGTAGTGGGTTCCGGTTCTCTTTCCCTGTGAGTGCGTGCGTGCGTGCGTGCCGAAGAACACGAGGTGAGGGTGCGAGGCTGCCTGCCAGCCCTGTCCTGTGATCGTGCCGCGGTGTCTGGTGCAGGGGGAGGGCAGGGAGGGGAGTCCCTTTCATCCTTTGGTGCTGTTTTCTGTAGCCAATTGCCAGGTAGAGCCAAGGCGCTGTAGGGAAGATGATTAAATTATGCCTCCAAAAAAAGCATTCAAGTGTTTGGCTCCTCTGTGGTGCGTACAGACCCTTCCATCCTTCCACACGGTCAGGCAGACACGGTGTCTAACCATTTCTCAGCTCAGGTCAGCCCTGCGGACACCCAGTGAGGCAGAGACCAGCACACAGTGTGACTGCGACGGGAGAGCAATGCAGCTTGGGGGCAGGGTTTCAGGCACTTCCTCTAGTGACTTCATTCAAAACACCAGCCACCTGAGACGGGCAAGCGTCCGCCTGGGAGCACGGAGCTGCGCACCTGTGGGCTAGCCCAGTGGTTGGCAAACTGCGGCTCTCGAGCCACATGCGGCTCTTTGGCCCCTTGAGTGTGGCCACAAAGTTTCTATCGCACTGTACGGTGCACGCCCGCACGTGGCATTTTGTGGAAGAGCCACACTCAAGGGTCGCAGTTTGCCGACCACTGGGCTAGTCTACCCCCTAGTTTACGTCTGTAGAGAGAACACACCTGTTCATAAGAGCAGTCATGCTGGAACAGCCGCTATATTCTCTAAACAAATGCATGCAAAACCTTGTAAAAGTAGCTACGGATGTTTCAAAAATTAAAAAAACACATTAAACACATTAGTGTGTTTCAAATACAGTCATAAGTGGATCTGAAAACAGGGACTTCGACGTAAAATCCTGGGACAATTGTGCAGCCAGTCCAGCAGCAGGTGATGTCATGGACACAGAAAGGGCCTGGCAGCCCTGGCTTCTCCTGGCTGGTCCCCAAGCAAATCAGACTGCGGGGTGCAGGGGCTTCCCAATCATCGGCTGTGTGAGACGAGGGAGGAGGGGCAGAGGCACCGCTCCGCACCCGGCAGGTGAGCCCCGCTTCTCTGAGGTGCCGGCTGGACTCCCCATGTGCGAGGCACAGCTCGCCGGTGGATGTAAGATGGTCCCAGACCCGCTCCCTCTCCACCCCTGGCGGTGCACGGCCCTCCCCTGCGCTGAGGGCTCGGAGCCTGCAGGACCCCGCGGTGCCCACCGCCCGCCCAGGGACATGGGCAGAGCAAGCCCTGTGCCAGGGCTCACTGGCCTTGAGGCTGACAAGCTTAGAAAAGATAAGGCAGCTGCGCTTTCCTAAAATAAACCATTTATTGAAAAAAAAGCCTTTTTCTTCAATTTCATTCATCAGCCTTTTGCTGACAGACCTGTAGCCGCCGCCGCCCACAGGGCAGGTTCAGTCAGTGCACTCGACAGACGAGAACAGGCAGGACTAGGGACCGCGACCTGCTCGGAACCAGGGCGGTCAGCGCACTACAGACGTCCCGGGTCCGTCCCCGAAGAGCGGGGACGAGGCGGCGGTCCGTGTACAGTAGAAATGGCACTTAACATGGAGCTTCTTTCCTCGTGGACACTGTCACTCAGGAGGCCCCGCGCCAGGTCGACCCCGCAGGAGCAGCCCAGCCGGAGGCGGGAGGCCGCGCTCTCCCAGCACAGCCTTCATGTAAATGTTACATACAGTAGCGATGACGTCTTCCGAGCGCACACCAGCCACGGCGGCTTCGCGTCATTCCTCATCGGTGCAAACCTGCAGGAAGGCAGGAGAGAGCTGAGCCCAGCGCGCTCCAACGAGACCACAGGCAGACGCGCCCCGTGCCCCGCGGCACCTGGTGAGGGGGGCTCTGGACACAGGGACCGGGGTGCTGTCACTGCTCCAGGACTGGCCACTGACCGCTCCGAAGGACACACTTAGAGCAGCAGGTCAGCCGGGGCGGTACTACACATCTCAGTGAAGCAGCACATTCTTTAGTTACAAAGCCCAACAGCAGGCCCAGCTCCGGTTCCTTAGCCTCGCTCACCCCCAGGAGGGCACCCGTGGGTCCTTAGCCTTGTTCACCGGGCACGTGTGGGTCTGTAGCCTCACTCACCCCAAGGAGGAGGAGGGCACCGAGGCACCTCCCTCTGCATCAGAAGCTCCCTGGGGGGCAGGCCCTCCCGGGCTTCCTCCCGGGCTCCATCCCGCCCTCAGCGCTCTCCCAGCACCATCTGTCTCCCTTCTCTCGGGTGCCAGCTCCAAATACCCGAGGCCTCACTGAATCCCCAAGCAGGTGCTCCCACACACCTCAAACCTCATCTCCCAAGAGCAGCCATCACCTCCCTGACCTCAGCAGCAGCCTCTGTACCTACCCTGGTGAGTTCCTACCCCCGGGACCCAGCCCGTCTGAGAGCCACCCTAGCTCCTTCCCTGCACACACCGTCACACTCAGGGAGTTTTCATGGCCGTTTCAGCTCCAACATCGCTGATAACACCTGACCTCCACGCCCAACCCGTGAGCTCTGCCAGCAGCTCCCTGACCAGCCTCTCGCTCACTATTCAGTAGGTCACAGTGGTGACCAACTGCCTTCCTCCTCGGCCCTGCCCCGCTCTGTGTCGTTCGCATCCTGTGCTGTCAGCACCCACTCCCTCCCCACAGTTCTCGGCAGGTGCCTGCCCCGCCTCTCCCTCTGTCTACCACCCCCACCCCATTCCAGAGCTGCCCAGGGTGAGTGAGGTTAAGGAACCAGAGCGCCTGGCCAGGCCTTCCCAAGCAGCTCACACCACATGCTAGAGGGACACCGGCATGACCGGACCCTGCCACAGGGCCACACCGTGACCACAGCACGGACGTCCGCGTTGCTCGAGCCTCTACTCCTCAGCCGCTGCTAACCTGTTCTCAGGCAGACCACACGCTCAGCAGGGGGCACTGTCACCCACCCAGCTCCAGCGCCCTTCACAGTCCAAGGGCACCTCTACCACCACCAAAATGGATCAAGCAGGAGAGCCACATGAACACGTTCCAGAAAAAGCCATACACAGGACTCCCAGGCGTAACTGAGCGCCCCCTTCCATCAGATGCAGGCATTTCCTGTTTAAGAGCCAGCCGCAGGCAGAACGGGAGCGCGTGGGGAGCCGCGGGGGCAGGCGCACCTTGACGAAGGAGTGGTCGAGGAGCTGGCTGGCCGTCCAGCGCAGCCGCGGCTCGCTCTCCAGGCAGTGGGAGAGGAAGTCCTTTCCCTCCAGGCTCAGCCGCTCAGGGATCGGGGGCTTGTGCCCCATGCCCACTTTATACATGATCTGAAAGTTGTGTTCATATTCATGCCAAGGCCTCTAGAAAGAGAAAAAAAGTCAGGTTTGAGTACTACATGGTCATAAAAAAGGGCAAATTCTCCATCTTTGTTTAGGCATCTCCACATGCAGTGTCCTCCAACAAGTGTGAACAGACCTTAACAGCTGAGCTCAATTTTGAAAATGAAATGCACGTTTACAAACACCACTTTTATAACTACTCAGTGTGCATATACATCTCAGGGGACACCCTATATACATCAGGAGCTGGCAAACTTACTTAAAGGGTCTAATACTTAATAGTAAATATTTTAGCTTTTGGCCCCATGGTCTCTGTCACCATCCAATTCTCCCATCGCAGCAGGAAAGCAGCCTCAGACCACATGTACATGAGGGGCGCGGCCATGGTCCAGTGAAACGATTTGCACAGCAGGGCGGACACAGGCTGCCTCCCCATGTGCTGTCCATCCAGCATCATCGAGATGCCATCATCATGCAAGTAAAAAATGCAATACATAAAGTGAAATGAAAATGTCAATAAACCAGAATCCAACAGTTATCGTTAGGGATGTTTTTAATATGCTACCTTGCTGAATAATGAGCCTCAAATGCTGTTACTGCAAAGCTTGCTTTATTATGGTCACAGGAAAAATGAGATTCAGGGGAGAAACAATTAAGCTGTTATGTCATCCTATTTGTGTAGCACTGTTGACTGTGACATGTGAGAACTCCCTCTTTCTCTGATGTATGGCTGGACTAACGTAACAGGTATCATGGCCGTATTTCTTTTCCTTATTTTTTAAAAAATGTATTTTATTGATTTTTTTACAGAGAGGAAGGGAGGGGATAGAGAGTTAGAAACATCGATGAGAGAGAAACATCGATCAGCTGCCTCCTGCACACTCCCTACTGGGGATGTGCCCACAACCAAGGTACATGCCCTTGACCGGAATCGAACCTGGGACCCTTGAGTCCGCAGGCTGATGCTCTATCCACTGAGCCAAACCGGTTAGGGCTTTTCTTTATTTTTTAACATTTATTTTAAATTGACTTCAGAGAGCAAGGGAGAGACAGAATCATTGTTGAGAGAAATAACAATCAGCTGCCTCCTGCACGCCCCCTACTGGGACTCAGGCCCATAACTCGGGCATGTGCCCTGACCGGGAATCAACTGGTGACCTCCTGGTTCATGGGACAACGCACAATCCACCGTGCTCAATCCACTGAACGCACTGGCCGGGCACGGCCATCTTCTATGTTAAAGATACAGAAATAATATCAGCGAATATTTATTAAGCATTTTGTGTGGTCTTTTTCAGCAGCTGCAAGGTATAGCTGTACATTGATTTAATTTCCTATTAACACTTAAGAGGTCTCTAACTTCTTTGTTTTACAAATAATGCCACACACACACAATATCTTTATACATTTGTGAATGCTCATTAATGTATCTTCCCGAGAAGATGGATTTTCAGATACAGTACCACGCAGGAGTTCCACTGCCCTAGCCACCCTGGTGCTGAGCCTGTCCGCCCCTCCTGCGCCCACACACACCCTGGTTCCTGCCTGGGTGGTGTGCGGCCTTGGCCTTCGTGGTGGCCGCCTGCACCAGCAACCCGCTATGGAGGCTCCTCCACACCACTCCACAGCGCGACAGGGCATTTGTACCGCTGCATTACACTCCGCTGCACAACCACCAGTGTGTTTATCCACTTACCTGCTGACGGGGCCTTGGCTGCTTCTAAGCCTGGGCGACTATGAATAAAGTTGATTTATGTGCCAGTTTTGTGTGGACGGGAGTTTTCCACTTCATGTTTCTTTCTGTATCTGCTTACTTCCCCATGTTCTAACTCAGGTTTTATGCTTTTGTTCACTTCTAAGAGTTCTCTAAGTGACAGACCTTGTATTTGATTCCTGGTCGTCACCTGTCTTAACCTTACTCTACTTGACAAGAGCAGTATTTCTAATGATAATATAACAAGGTGCCCCGCAGTTTCCCCTCCAGGGGGCTCTGCTTACCTTGCCAGTCACCATCTCTATGACGACACACCCAAGGCTCCAGATGTCGGCCGCACGCCCGTGACCCTCTCCCTTCGCACGAGTGATGACTTCAGGAGCCATGTACGCTGTGAAGTCACAGACGTGATGATAGGAATGGCTTATCAACCAGGCAACCTCATACATTCCACATGGAAAAACAACAGTATGTGGTGGGGGAACTTCCCCCAGTTACATACTAGGAAACGGAAACTTGAAAATAGGTATTTCACACCAATTTCTTGAATAGACATTTTTAGGGGATGAATTATCTTCTGAAAGAGTTTTTGAATGCATACATTTTCAGATAAATTGTATTCACAATGAAAATATAAAATTTAACCTGCAACGGAGGATGCAGAAGTTTGTGATACTAAATGATTAAAACAAGTAATTACCATTGAAATGTAATATTGTTTTGACTAGAATACTTTTAATACGCCCAGTGTGAAGGGGCAAAAGGCCCCCTCCTCTGACTCCCGGGGAACCGTGACTTCTCCGCCTGACAGTGCTTTCAGGAGGCCGGGTGTCTGCGGGCGTGGTCCCTGGCGGGTTAGCACGACCTGCTGTCCAGGTCAATGCTGACAAGAGGCAACGGGAAGGCCCGGTGCCCAAGCACCAGGCGGGGAGGAGCCTGTGCAGAGACAAACAGCCAGGCCCACCTGCGGTCCCCAGCGTGCTGTTCACTTCCCCAGGCATGGTCTGGGCGTTGTTTTTAAGCTTCACTGAGCACCCGAAGTCTCCCAGCTTGATCAGCCCCGAGGAGGTAAGGAAGATATTGGCACCTAAGGAAGAATAATTTTATAGGTGATATGGTTACCTAGACTACAAGCTAAGTGATAGAAAGGTTAGGAAACTATGAACAAAATGTAAGCCTACAAGGGTTTTAAGCTTTATTCACAAACATCATCAACACACAACAAAGCAGTTTTACCATCAGTGCAGATTCTGTGACCAATACTTTCTGAGCTGAAATACGTGCACAGACCCCAACACTAAAACCCCAGAGCTACGTGGAGACGTTACTGAGAAAACACAGGCCTGAGGTGGCAGCCCTGAAAGTGAGAGTTGTACACAAGCAGCAGCTCCTGGATCGGGTAACCACGTGAGACAAGAGCTGCACCCACACTGTCCTCATGGCCTGACGCGGCCACACTGCACGGATATTAGCCGGTGACGGAAAAGATCGTCTGTAACTGTCTCCCGTTGGGCCCCCCGTCCTGGGGCCGCTGGGCCTTTGCTACAAGGTCTCACCGCTCCACTCGAGCCTGCATCTCTGCTCTCCGGGTCCTGGGACACCACCTTGGCAAAGCAACGCAGCCACTTGGGCTAGAGAAGCAGCCGTGCGAGGGCTGCGGTCTTAGCCAATCCTCGTGGCCTGGGTGCTCCCCGTGCAGGTGGCCCGTGGGGGATGACCCCCCCGCCCCGTGCTGACACGGTCATTCCGGAGCTGGTCCACTCGGCACATGGTCATTGCCAATGACATGAAGGTTCTACTTCATGACAGTGGACAGAGGCTGAGGATATTTATGGCACAACTGGAAATGGGTAATGTCGGGACCTGGCACAGAGCCAGGTGGAGACCGCGTGCGCAGGGAGCAGGGAGAGCAGCACCGGGAGCGTGGGTGCCTCACTCACACCAGGGGGGAGTCAGCCAGCGCTGGAGTGAGCGTGTTCACACTGGCCTCAGACTATGCGACAGGACGGGACCCTCAGCCAAGGGCCATTAGAGACAGAAGCGATTTGTTGCTTTATTATCCCCAAGATGCCCAGACACACAGGTCAGGGCCATGATGTGACAGGCACATGCCCTGAGGCAGACGCATGGCTGCTCCCTGTGCCCGGGGAACGCATTACATCCACCAGTGTGAGCGGTCAGCCCTCACAGCGCTCCCTGGACGAAGCTGGGATGAGCCGCCCGAGTCAGCAAGCAGCCACACACGGGGCTGCTCATCACGACCGGCTCAGCGTTTCTGACTCACGGCCACGCTGCACTCGCGACATTCAAATACCGAGACAGGCCGGCGCGGCACCAGGCTTACCTTTGATGTCGCGGTGCACTATGCCGTGCTCGTGCAGCACGTTGATGGCCACGGCGATCTGCTTGGAGTAGAGCCGGATGACGTGCTCCTGCAGGCCCAGCCGGGACACCTCCTCCAGCGTGCCCTCGTCGCAGTACTCCATGAAGATGTACATCTCCTCCTGTGGCAACGAACGCAGCGCGTGGGCACACGCACAGTGCAGGTCGGACAGCGCCACAGGCGTCTCTGTCTAATGGACTGCACACTCGTCGTCCTGCCCCTAACTCGTCCCCGACAGCAGTGCCTGCGCCTCTGTCTGGAATTGCACCTCCAAGTCACAGGGATCCACGTCCACATCCCCCAAAACGAAGCCGCCATGTAATCTCAGAAAGGGGCCAGCAGGGCTGCCGATCCTACATTAGCAAGTACTGAAATGCATCCTCTTCACATAGGAATCTCAGTGTGAAACCTCAAAAATCACCGACACCCAACTTCCCTGCCCACTTCTCATCCACCCGGATGCTCCACTCCTCTCCCTCTGTTGTTTCTAAACACGGAGGAAAACCACACCGCGGCTGGAACTTCTCTCACTTCACACGGCTCCTGAACACACACACGAGACGAAGTGCTGCCGCTTAACGACGCCCTGAGTGCCGCAGCCGGAGGAGGAGAGGAAGGAGCGGGGAGGCCTTTTGGAGAACCTGCGCTGGCGGGATGGTGCTGGGCGCTGGCTACTGTCGGGTGCACTACAGGCTACAACTTACACTTCGGGAAGAACTGCTCTCGTGTCAGAGAGAAGGCAGCAATGGTAACACATGAGATTTCCTGGTAACTAGGAAAGCGACTCTGCAATGAGAAGGCCTGTGATGTAGACAGGCCTCCCAGCCCCCCGGCTGCGCCACGCGGTGCTCGAAGCCGCCTACCCTGTGCAGCTCCACTCCAAAGTAGCGCACCAGGTTGGGGTGCTTGATGCCCTCGAATATCTTCAACTCGTCCGCGGTTTCCTTGATCGTCTTGTGGTCGTTGGGCTGAAACCGGATCTGTGAGAGGCAAGCTGCCGATTACTGAGGGTGCGGTCGCAAACGAGCACAGGCAACGTTAAGCATGGGCAAGACACGCTCACTGTCCCGACCCCAGGACCATGCCGGGGTCGGCGACTTCACTCCCAGGCTCTCTCTCCGAGGTTTCCCAAAGGAATGAAGCGCGCCCACTTCAGAATATCTGGTGAGGCGACAGCTAATGGAACCGTTTCACAACTGCAGACTGAATGCACAAAACCCTCAACAGTCAGCGAGCAAACACCAGTGTCAGGTTGCGGGCAAGATGCAAAACTAAGGCAGATTCTGCCCTTCGAGGTTGGCACCAGGAGGCTGGAAGGAGGCTACAAGCCCAGTGGGAGGTGCCAGGCTGGGCAGAGAAGTGCATTAGGCGCCCCAGAGAGGGGGTGTCAACAGGCAGGACGTCCCAGCCTCTTCTGCCACTGCCCCCACTTCTGAGCTATGAGGCCTCCCCTCGGTGCCTTGGTTTCCCTGAGGGCCCATCCTCAGGTTTCCCCTGGTTGTGCCCCTTGACCCCCAGCTGAGAAGATGCTGTCATTTCTGAAGGTGATCACAAATGTTATCTTCTCCCCAAAGACCCTGTGAAATGCTGCACCCCCCACCCCTCCAAGCTTCCCCAGTCCCCCCCCCCCCGCGCGGCACGGCCCAGCAGGGGAGACCTGCCGTGCTCCTGCTCACTCCCTGGCCCGACCTCCTCGCTCCGTCACCTCAGTGCCCTGCTGGCCCCACAGCACAAGCGCTAAGAGCAGCTGCGGACGACCCAGCGCCCCAGTGAAGCCAGTGCTACGTACGAACCTGTCAGAAACACACGCTTTTTACCAAATCTCCACCCAGAGGCGTCAGATAAGCAGGCCGAGGGCCACTCACCTCCTTCATGGCCATCAGCTCGCCCGTGTCAACGCTGATGCAGGTGTAGACCTTCCCATACTGCCCTTCTCCTGTGAAGGGAACATACAGGCAGCGCTCGGTCACGCCAGGCCGTGTTCGCGCGCCAACAGGACTCACCTTCCCCAAATTGGAGCTGTTCACAGCCCCTAACGGTGCTCACGGAAGCGACGACTGCGAGACCCCCCGCGAGGTGTGCACGTCCCTAGTAACTGAGGTCCCAGGCCAGCCCTTCACGGCTTCCCGTAAATGTCTGTAGACAGACTGCAACGGCCTTTGGCAAATCCCAGAGGCCTGAAGGCGAGCGCCAAGCACCCCAGTCGTGGCCCCGCAGGAGGCCTGGCCCGCAGCTGCGCTTCCTCTTCAAACCCAGGTGCTCGGCAGGTAAACGCAGGGAAGTGGGAGGACCCGAGGGACAGGCAGGCTCCTTCTCTCCCACCACCACCACCACCACCGCCACCGCCACCACCTCCACCACCGCCACCACCTCTCCCCAGGAAACGAGTCAGGCCGTTTTAGAAAAGGCTGTCCTGCCCGTATTGGATCCCGTTTCTCTTCAATCACGTGTGCGTGGGGTAAGAGAGAACACAGACGACGGCAAATGGGCACAGCTATGCCGCTCCCCACTGGCACCTTCGGGAGCACAAGCAAAACTAGCCATTTAATGCAGCGTTTAACGTCTTCCTAAACCGCATTTTGTACTGCTCAGGGCACATTTTACAAACGAAGGGAAAAAAGCCCCCGGCGCCCTCCGTGAAAGGCACGCCGCACCTGCCGCACGTGTGAGAAAAGGGCCGCCACACGCGTCCTGCCCTGAAGAAGTGTGGCCACTGCTATTTCTAACGGAGGAAACGTGCCATGTTCTTCAGCGTCCTTACCAATTTTGTTTCCTCTTTGCCACTTGAAGGTCACCTTCCTCAGGCCAACATGCATGACGTTATCGTACGATTTGGGGGTATCACACACTTGACCAATGATGTTCTTCCTCCTCATCTCTCGGTACCGCTTTTCTTCAAACAGCCGGACGGACTTCTGGATGGCTTCCATGGGCCCTTGTTTAGAAGCGGTGTCTGCAGGGAGAGCCGCCCACTCAGAGTCACAGTCACTATCATCAAGTCCACTTCCAGCAAATCACCAGAAAATCAGAGCCATGTGCACTGGCACTGCTCACAGCACAGCTGCGCAGGGACGCACGGCCCAGCTCGGTCTAACAGCCCCGAGCAACCCCCCACCACCCCCACACACATGAGACACAGCCCGTCAAGACAAGCCACCTCCCAGGCTGGTGGTCAGACTACTGCTGTGACCATCTCCTGCCTCAGTCTCTCTTCTCTCCAATCCACTCTCGTTGGCCACAATGATCTTACCAAAAACTAAAATCCGATCATGTGACCTTCCTATGTACACTTACTTCCCGGGTCATCACACCTGTTGATCACAAGTGCAAAGCCCTCTGATGGACTCCAGTCTGCACAATGTGGACCCGGCCTCTGCCCCAGCTCACCGGGTTGGGCCACTGCCCTTTCTCCGGCCACAGCCTCCGAGTCACACTGCAGACCCTCAGGGAGCACCCAGCTGCTTCTCGCCCAGGCCTCTGCTCATGCTTTCCTCCACCCAGGGCCTCCCTTGGAAGCCCCCTCGGGTGAGGGGGTTCGTTCTCTCCTTTGGGAGGGGCAGACGCCGGAATAGGGCCCCGCCTCCCGTGTGCTCGGGGTCTGACAGAGGGCAACTCACTGGACTTCTCTACACATCAAATTCCTGATCCGTGAACTGAAGGGATCGATACTAATGTAATCACGCATGGAAAGCACTGGCCCACTGACTGAAATTCAGGAAAACGCAGTAAATTCTGGCTCCTATGATTCTCCATTTCCCCATCAGGCTCCACACCTCTATTTCTGCAACTTATTTTATCACAACTTACAGCAAGACGTCTCTCTCACACACGTGGAATCTAAAGCAGCAGCTTCATAAACGTCACCACTGTTACTCCAGGCTATTTTTGACTCTGACTTCACAACCCACTGGTGGGTGACACGCACAGCGTGGAAAGCACGGCTTCTGCTCATCTCCCTGCAGCACTTCTCGTGCTGCCGCTCACTAGCTAGGAGCCTGGTGGCGGCAGGAGGACAGGTCCCTGGGGACTGGGGCGAGGAGGGTCCATTTGGGGTGGGAAAGCCCCGAGTATTTGTATGTTCAATTACAGTGTCTCAACACCATCATTCCCTAAAATCACAGGTCCTGGCCCTTTATCTCTCGGAAATGAACGAGCTTTCCCAGCTGCGGCAGGGACTCCGCTGTCAGGCAGTTCTGGGAAAGGCTTTTTTTAGAGTAAAACATTTCTCAAGATTCTCAGTTGTGAATATGTCAACGTGAACGGAAACTCTCTCAAGACCTCCAAGTGTCTGAAAATCATCACGAAGACCTGTATCCGTGGGAACTACTGCAGCCACTGTACGTGAGCCACTGCAGAGACCTCCGCCCCGCTGCCCGCTCCCGCCACGTCTCCCCCTCACCCCCCCCCCCCCGTCTCCCCCACGCCCTCTACACCCACCCGACCTGCCCAGGCCTGTCGCTGTTGCACCACAGTTGCTTCTTGTTTCCATTCCTTTTCTAAGTCCCACCTTAGTCCTATCTTACGTCTTACACTGCGTCACTGCAATTACTCTCACCAGTCTCCCTCCCCCCAGTTCAGGTGAACCCCCCTCCATGTCTTCCTTCTCCCACCTTCCCACGCCCCGTCACACAAGCGGTTCCAGAGGCTTCCACCCCCGCTGCGCCAGGCCGAGCCCACAATGACCGGACCTCCCCTCGCCTTCAATGCCACCTCCACTGACAGCCACGCCCGAGCCCCCTCGAGTGGCCTCCAGGTGTGTTTCTCCTTTGTGCTTCTCTGGCTTGGTGCGGACTGGCCAGCCCTTCCAGGGCAGCTCAGGCCTCCAGGAACCCTCCTGGCTGCTCTGGCCGTGGGTGGTGGACAGCTACTCTCTGACCAGCCACCCACTTTCCAAGGGGTGCTGTGCGGGAAGAGGACTGGCGGGGAATGCGGGCAGTGTGCTCCGCTCCCTGCCGCTCACACCTGACCTCTCAGACTCTGGTCGCCTATGGGGCGTGAGCAGGTGCATGCTGCCTGCCGCTCACACCCTGACCTCTCAGACTCTGGTCGCCTATGGGGCGCGAGCAGGTGCATGCTGCCTGCTGCTCACACCGCTGTGACGACGACTCGTGAAAGCTCTCTGTGAGCCATCAAGTGACAGAGCAGTGATGTTTCTGCTACTTATTCTTTTGGTGAATTCGGACTGATTACCACTTGGTAAGATAAAAGTTTCCCTCAACTTCTTAGCCTAAAAAGTGAACAGTTACTCATTTTGTAAATACTTACTCTATTCTCACAACGTACAAAGAATTGTGCTAAGGGCCCACCCAAGGACAGATAAAATGAACAGTCCCAGTGCTTACAGACACAAAATCATAAAACGTGTTCCTATCCAAAGGAGCTTGTAAGTTAGTGTAATAAACAGAAAATGGCCCTCGCAGGTTTGGCTCAGTGGACAGAGCATCAGCCTGCGGACTGAAGGGTCCCGGGTTCCATTCCAGTCAACGGCACATGCCTGGGTTGATCCCTAGTAAGGGGCATTCAGGAGGCAACCAGTCGATGATTCTTCTCATCATTGATGTTTCTCTCTCTTTCTCTCCCTCTCTCTCCCTCTCTGAAGTCAATAAAAAATACATATATACTAAGAGGCCCGGTGCACGACATTCGTGCACTGGGGGGGTGGAGGAGGAGGGTGTCCCTCAGCCCGGCCTGTGCCTTCTCGCAGTCCAGGACCCCTTGGGAAATGCCCGGCTTATGCCCTCTCGCAGTCTGGGACCCCCCTCAGAGAGCAGGCCTAAGCTGGCAGGCAGACATCCCCTGAGGGGTCTTTAGCGCTGATGCAGAGGTGGGAGAGGCTCCCGCCACTGCTGCTGCACTCGCCAGCCGTGAGCCTGGCTTCTGGCTGAGAGGCGCTCCCCCTGTGGGAGTGCACTGACCACCAGAGGGCACCTCCTGCATTTTGCATCTGCCTCCTGGTGGTCAGTGCACGTCATAGCAACTGGTCGTTCTGCCATTGGGTCGATTTGCATATTAGGGTTTTATTATATAGGATAAAAAAAAGGCAACAGGAAATGGTGGAGTCAGCTGTAGACAGAGACCCCAAATACTAACACACAGGCCCAACAACCCGGAAGCTAAAGCACTGCCTCAGAAACCACTCCCTGTGCAGAAACATTTAAAGTTTGACATTCTTTCTCTTACCTTTCGTCTGGCTGATCAGCGTCCGAAGTTCCCAACTTCTTCGGGTCGACCCACTTGAATCACCTTTTGGATATGCCGGTTCTGCAGAAAGCATTTTTCATACAAATGAAGACTCAGAACAAATCCGCTTACTGACAGCAAGGCTGAGCGGTGAGTGCGGTGAGTCACCACCAGCCTGTCCTCTCTGCTGATTAACTAGTTTGGTGTGAGTGTGAGAAGCTGTCTCTACAATCAATTCTAGAAAATCGCACCAAACTAAGAAGCTGTTAATGGGTTACAACTTCAGCTCCATAAACCTTCCACAAGTAACAAGCAGCATAACACTGAGCAGACACTGCTCAGGAGCTCAGCAGAGGCCCGCGTGAGCCACCACGGGCCTGGGGCAGATGCCTCGGGCTGTGTTATAATAAAACTCCAGCACGTCCCCAACAGCACAGTGTCACTTCTGCACTTGTAAAGAGGATAAGAACACTTGGCAACTAAAACATCAGAAATAATGATTCTTTAAAAAGCAACAAAAGGAGACCTAAAAAATGCAAACACACCTAAATTAGAAAAGCACCTAAATTAAAAAGCTGAGTGCTTGAGCCCGGCTGGCCTGGCTCAGTGGTTGAGCGTCGACCTTTGAACCAGGAGGTCATAGTTCAATTCCCAGTCAGGGCACATGCCCGGGTTGGGGGCTCGATCCCCAGCAGGGGGCGTGCAGGAGGCAGCTGCCAACCAATGGTTCTCTCTCAGCATTGATGTTTCTATCTCTCCCTCCCTCTCCCTTCCTCTCTGAAATCAATAAAAACATTAAAAAAAAAGAAAAAGCCAAGTGCTCGGCACCGAGTCCTCTCATAAAGCCTGGCTTCCCCTCCTCCCTCGGAAAAGGCATGGACACAGAAATTGGTGGACGGAGACCAAGGGTGAGGCTCGTGAATGCAGGGACACCTCCACACTTACCATCTCGCTCCTCGGTGGGGCTGGAGTGGCGACTCAGGGACCTGAACTGCAGCTCAGCTGCGACGGAAGCCAGCCGGTCGTTTTCAGGGACACTGGAACCCCTGTTGTGGTCGTTTTAAAAATGGAGCTATCAATTCAATGGAACTCAGAATGACAGCTCTGCGACTCTCCCAGGGCAAGTGGCTCTCAGCTGAGGGTGCCTGGGGTCCCGGGGGACATCCAGCCGCCAGTGGGGAGAGGACAGCACAGAGGATGCCCCAGACAGAGCCCTGGCCCCAAAGGAGGGGCGTTGCCTGGGGACCCTCCCCTGGAGTGTAGGAGGGAGCTGTACTTCCCTCCCCCATAGCCAGCACCACCTCACAACCTGACTGCGTGAGACATGGTTTTATGTTAAAAAACAACAAAACAGTATTTACTAAAGTATGGACATGTATGGAAAGCTCATAACTTAAGCCCAGGGTGATAAAATTAATAGCCTAATTTGGTTAACATTTAAAATGATCATCCGATTATATTTATGCACTTAACCCTTTAAGTGCTAAAGTCACTACATGGCTGGGAAGCAGCAGGGAAACCTGAGGTTTCTCAAGCAAGAGCCAAGCGAAAGTGCAGAAGAGCAGGAAGCTTAACAACAAAGAACCAAGTTAATCTGCTGCTTTTCCGGAAGAAAGTTAAGTCAATTGCCCAGCAATCCAGAATGAATCCATCAAGAGTAAGACCCAAAATTAAGGCAGGGAGGTGTGAACATTCTAATAACAAATCATCCACAATAAAATGGCGTCAGCTTATGAACAAGGGCCGTGTGTATTCAGTGGGTGCTCTCATGAAGTATGGTAGCATTTATGCTCTTTCTCAGACGCTGACCCGGTTCAGCCACGTGGTCTACGGAACAGACGAGCTCTGGGCCCGAGTGCTTCTGACGCCCCTGAACTCTGCAACCCAGGGCAGCACTCGCTGAGCCTGAAGACTGGACGCCCCTACTGCCACATGGCCTCTCCAAGTCGTGGCCCCACTCCGTGGAAAATCATGGGTGCTCCCGGCCCTGCTCACGACCGGCACCATGGGAAGTCACTCAGCACCTCTATGCTCCTGATTTCCCAGAGACAAAATGAGTCAATTCCACATCCTCCGAGAGTTTTGCCAGGATAAAAGGCAAGAAAATATACTTAAATGAAGGGTTATGCCGAGGAACTTTTTAATACCTAGTTTAGGGGGTGGCAGGGAGGGTTGTAGAGTTTGACAATTTCTGTGGTGTAACAACTGGCTTGCAATATTCCTAAAAAATTAACAATTCAGCTTTTGCAAACCAGTAAGGGCCAGTTCCAGCAAGCAGAACTCTGTAAAACATTTTATGAGCAAGATGACTATTTCCTAAGTAAAACCAAACCACATGGAAACACTTATGGACGCTGTGGGGCAAAGTACCACGGCACTGTGGCTGCACCTCAGGCGGGCAGGGCTGCACTCGGAAGGGCCGGCGCCCCTGCCAACGGGGAGGCGCGGGCATCGTCCTGCCGCCTCACAGCACAGTCACAAACCAGGGCTGCACGGAGACTGCGGCTCGCGGGCATGTGCGGTCGGTCTCCCAAGGCCCACCCCACAGGTTCCCGGCAGAGGGGCGGAGGCACACGTTAAACTGCACGTGCCAGGCTGGAATGCAGAGGGAACACCACCCCAGGCCACATGTCTCCACTTGGCTTTGCTGTTCTATCTCCTGTCATGTCCACACGACTGTAAAAAGGAAATGTCATTCCTTTGTGAAAAATGGCCTGCAAGGTGGCCATTTTTCTAACTACAAATTTCTAACTATCAAGGATCATTCTGAGGGTGGACATAATCACAAAACGCTACTCATAAGATGCTAAACATCCACTAGCCAAGGCCTAACACTAAAGGCATAAAAGGCATTTAGCTTTGATACTAAAATACATTTAATGTACACAGTATCACCTTTATAAATGCCTCAGGCCACCGTTCATGAGCCTCTGAAAAGGGGGGACTTTACGCCCCCCCGCCCCCGCCACCCTGGGTCCTGGAGAAATAGTGTGGACTCAGAGCAGCAGTGGGGCCAGGCTCCAGTCCTGGTGGCATGTCCTCCGCGTCTGTGACTGCGATCAGGGCACGTCACCCCGTAACTCTGTATGCACGTAGAGACAAAACAGTCTCGTGCCCCACAGGGACATGGAAGCACAAGGAAACACTAGCCAGGAAAAGCTCTAAACGTAAAGATAAAGAGGGGAAATGGGAACTTGTTCAAAGTCAACTTAACTTTTTTAGTTAACTGCTTAAGCTGTAAGCTACATTGGCATTTAGGTTATAGACATTTATCGCTAAAATTAGGAATATTAATGATCTAATGAAACATGGAAATGTCTATGGGAATTTTATACTGTTACAAAGTCTAAGCACAGTTTAGTCTGTGTGAGCTGCGAGCTCGGTCATCTTCCCGCCGACACAGCGCACTGAGGTCCTGCTCATCGATCGCCCAGCAGACTGTCGGGTCTGACTCCATCCCCATCCTGACTGGAAGGTGAGGACGGGGACCCTTCTCCCAGACTCCGGGTAGAGGACTTGGTTTTATCTTCTGGAGCTTGCCAAACACCTGAGGGCTCTCTCTGGCCAAGACCTAGTGTCCACCAGGTACACACCCCACAAACTCACTTTCTACTCTGCAAGCTAACCAAGCATCATAGAAATTAACTTGGTTAGAAAAGTGACCCTCTTAAAAACACGAGTCACCACCTGAAGGACTAAGAGAAGCCATCCCTGCGTCAGGCCCTGCTCCCAAACTCCTCCCGCCCCTCCTGGCGGGACCAGGCTCTTTCCCCTGATACTCTCCCTAGAGTTACTCCTGGCAGAAGCTCTGGTCTTTCTGGTTAATATCAGCTCCAAAGAAATACTGAAATCAGGCAGGTTATCTACTTGTGCTGGCGGGTCCTGGCGCCGCGGGGCCGGAGCATCACACGCACCACGGGGAGGGACCCCGGGTCCGTGTCCTGGGACACCCAGGGCAAGGCCAGCGCGGAACAGCACAGGAGGGGCAGGGGCAGGGCTCTGGCAGAGGGAGACTACCTGGCGTCATGGGCACTGCTGTTGGGTCTGGGTGGCGCGGAGTCGCCGCCTGCACCGGGGCCGTGGCTGCGCGCGTCCGGCACGCTCCGAGTGCTGAGACGAGAAGAAGAGCGTCAGGAACACGGGGCGAGGGAGCGGCGCACGTGGTTTTCAGTTAGAAATACAACCGGGCAAGTGAAAAGCACCTCACAACACAAAACGTACATCGCTCGCTGAGATTCAGGTTTAGGTTTGGAGAAAAAACCCACACCTAACTTCAAACTCAGTATTTAAAACAGATGTGCTCTCTCCTAGAAAACACTGACAAATGAAATTCACTTTTAGAAAGTGATCGTCCAGGGCGAGAAGATGCAGAAATGCCACCATGTTCAGTCGGTACTGGGATGTACTAACGATTCCGAGCTCACATAGCAAGTCCACCTGGAGTCACACACCCTCACAGTCCAGGCTGGAAAGATCATCCACGTGTTCCCACTTCTAAACTGACGCTAAGTGTTGTTTCTAGAATGTTCTTTTGTTATGAACACCCAAATGTGCTTCCCTGAGGCCATTTTTCACAGAGAAAAGGGAATAATTATTCCAAAGCGGGAAGCATTTAGTAGCTTGAGGTTGTAAATAAGCTCAGGAACTAAGCCATCTTGAAAGGTCCGAGTCGGTTTTGAATTGGCAATCTCTTTCTTTTGCAGCTAAGGCTGTGATTGTCTTCAAGATAACGCAACAGGAGCTTTGAGAATCGTATGCGCAAGAGTGAGCAGCCAGCGCTCTCAGGTGTTAGCATGCACGGCAGAAGGGGCCCCCCAAGCACACGACCAGAATGCACCAAATACCTGAATCCCTCCGGAGTGGGGATGATGAGGTGGGGGTTAGGAGGGTCGCTGTGGCATCGCGGCACCTTCACAGGACGGGGGCTGTTCCGATGAATGGCTGCCGTGAAAATGGCGACAAATGCAACATGTTAAAGGGGTCAACAGAAAACTGCCAACCCAGGCGAGTAAATGAACCAGGATGGGACTTAATTTTGCTGGTGACCAAAATAAGCCCTTTCTAAAAGAAAGTCGTATTATATACAAATATTGTGGGAAATGTCACTTTTAGTTACATGACACATTCGAACTTTCCTCCATCAAAAAACATTTTTTAAATCCCGGGACGAAATGCACATAACTTATGCAAAACAAACGATGTAGCCTGTTTTACAGACAGATGGCAACGTGCGGCATCCCCGAGTGAAAAGGGCTCGTACGCCATCTGCACTCGGAGAGGACTCTGGTCAGTGGGACACCCCAACAGGTCCCGAGTGGGCGGCCACTGCCATTTTCCTGAGTGCCAGGGCTTTTATCTCATTCCTTTAAACCAAACCAAGAGGTTATTTTTATTTTTTTTTTCAGAACAGGTTTTCTTTTTCTCCTCTTCTAAACAGTCTGGTAGAAGGTAAAATTTTACACAAAATTTAATAACAAATATTTTTAAGAACTGACCTTCCCTAGTGATTACAAAAATGCTGACAACTGTATTTTCCCAGTAACTAAATGTAACTAGAAATGGACGTGTTATACTTTGTCTACTTCTCCTAAAATGGTCTCTCCTTACTTTTTTTTTTTTTTTTTAAATATATTTTATTGATTTTTTTACAGAGAGGAAGGGAGAGAGATAGAGAGTCAGAAACATCGATGAGAGAGAAACATCGATCAGCTGCCTCCTGCACATCTCCCACTGGGGATGTGCCCGCAACCCAGGTACATGCCCTTGACCGGAATCGAACCCGGGACCCCTCAGTCCGCAAGCCGACGCTCCATCCACTGAGCCAAACCGGTTTCGGCCTCTCCTTACTTTTAACTTGGTTTTAACCCTACTTAGTTTTTTTAAAGTCATATTTTCTCTTTCTATGTTACTAATTTTAGTCTACGTGTTTCATTCTAAATGTTTTATCCGAAATGAAAATACTACCCCTTCATGGGTTTTGTGTGTGTGCTTTTAATGGCATTACATAGGAAAGACAGGAGTACCCAAATGGAGCGATCTGAAGGGAAAACTTGCAAAACAAGAATGAAGCAATTGTTAAGAAACTGGGGAAATTTGCACCCCTGGTTCATCATCTCAACTACTACAACAATAAATGGAATAAATCACCAGTAGCAAAGGTGAAAAGAAAAAAAGCAACAAGTATAATTTGGTGTGGTTGGGGATATCTTTAATTTGCAAACATACTGGTAACTACTGAGTCAAAAATGACTACAAAATTTTCCTATGAAGGTAAGAGGCATTCTGCTGAAACATACTGGGGTCTACTAACAAGTTTAACATGCTTCACAGATAAAGCAAAACATTTAAGACTAAGTATACCTAATTGATGCAAATGTGTGATATTTCACTGAAAAGAAAGTCCTAATGGCCAATAAACATAAATAGATGCTCAATTTCACTAGCGGTGAACTATCGAGATGTTTTTCATGGGAAAAAAAACTAACAAAGCAAGTGTCCACTAGGAAATGGTGGAAAGACTCAGTTTGTCCATAATGGACAATGAGGCCACTGAAAAGAATGAATTGGATCTACACCTGTTGACACAGGAATTTCTACAACTTTCAGGTAAGAAAAGCAAAAGATGCTGAAACCGGTTTGGCTCAGTGGATAGAGCGTCAGCCTGCGGACTGAAAGGTCCCAGGTTCGATTCCGGTCAAGGGCATGTACCTGGGTTGCGGGCACATCCCCAGTAGGGAATGTGCAGGAGGCAGCTGATTGATGTTTCTCTCTCATCGATGTTTCTAACTCTCTATCCCTCTCCCTTCCTCTCTGTAAAAAACCAATAAAATATATTTAAAAAAAAAAAGAAAAAAAGAAGAAAAAAAAGAAAAGCAAAAGAACACTCAATGTAATCCAAATTTTACACAGTAAACGGCAAGCAAGCCCCCCTATAAATGCCGTGTGATGTTACAAGCAGAAAGGTATGGTAGAACACGCTGTGCAATGAAACATGTGCGTGCACAGAAATGAGGAAGGTCACGTACCAGGTTGCTACCATTAAGCTACATGGGTAGACCGGGTGGCCGGGTGGCCGGGGGGGGGGGGGGGGGGGGGGGGGGAGGGGAAGCAACAACAACAAGGAACATGACAGCCCATGTGATCTCACTTTCATTAATTTCTAAGAATAAAAGAACCTAAAACCAGTGACTGCGGCCTCGTGTAGAACACTCCCGTTGACAGTGTCCATCGGACCGAGTCCTCGTCAGCACCCACTTTTAGGCACTAGAAGGGGAGGTTCCCGGGGGAATGAGCAGCCCCGGGCACGGGGCTGCGAGGAATCTGGCTCTCTGGCAGGGCCGCCCCACCATTCCCCCGTGGCTGCGAGGACAGAGGACACCTGGAACCCACAGGAGCTATGAGCCAACTGTCCCGCCAACAGTTTGGAGAGAGGCAGAGTGAACCATTAGTGACTCACACGTTAACAGCGATTGCCTGAGGATTTGTAATATCTTCCTACATTAAAAATTCTCCTACATGTACATTTTCTACATTTGTTACATACATTTTCTACATTGTAATTTTCTATAATGAAAATGACTCCTTATATAATAAAATATTTTAGAGATGTAATTTTTACTGAATTATTTATTGGTCATGTATTCTTAGAGAAATAATTTAGGAGACCATGAAATCATTTATGACAATATGCTTAACCAAAGTTTGATAAGAATATAGTATGTTTTATATAAAATATTCAAATAGTAAATGATAACTATCATTTCATAGTAGCCTTGGGAGAAAAAGAGGTATAAATAAACTCAGTAAATTTTAAAGATAAAGAAACCAAACATTAAAACTGGGGGTGGGGTCTAACCTTTCTGTAGCTAACCTTTCTATAGCTAGCAAATACCCTTTGAGATATAGCTGCTGCTCAATAAAGTTACCATTTATGAGTTACTTTATTTTGTGTAACAAATTGTTTAAAATTTCTAAGTTTTCCTATTTGGGTATTTATTACATATAAATAGTTTTGCTCTTATTTACTATTTTAAGACTGGGGTTAGACACAAACTTTTCTGAGACTTATTTTAAAACTTCAACATACATTGTAAAGCTGTACATTAACTGTAATTAAAGTATATTATAGCATAACTTGATTTTTTTTTTATTTTTTTTTAGTAAAACCAACAGGAACGGACTAGATTAGCAGGAAAAGGTACGTAGGGAAGTGGTGGAGAAGAAAACCGTTAACAATGACGGCGGGCAGGCCCCTGACACTCGCCCACCTCCACAGGAAAGGCTCTTCGCCCCAAAAGCCCCTCCCTCCAAGTCTCCTCCCAGAGAAAAGACTCCGGGGAGAGCAGATGGGAGAGCTGGTGAGCAAAAGCAGTGCTGCGGGCAGGCCTGACGCCTGTGCGGCACGCTCATCTTCCTGCCGGTGGAGACCGCTCGCTCACTGGGAGTTCTCTACGCGCACACGTCACTCCTCTGACTTTCGTTGTCCCTTTGCTGAATATTCTTAAAGACGCTCTAGCCGTGGCCGGTGTCGCTCAGTGGATAGAGCATCGGCCTGCGGACTGAAGAGTCCCGGGTTCGATTCTGGTCAAGGGCACATGCTTGGGTTGCGGGCTCATCCCCAGTAGGGAGCGTGCAGGAGGCAGCCAGTCAATGATTCTCTCTCATCACTGATATTTTTCTCTCTTCCTCTCCCTTCCTCTCTAAAATCAATAAAAAAATATTTTTGAGAGAAAAAAAAAAGACGTTCTAACCACGGGAAAGGCGGGCGACGATGACGGAGGCACTCGCTGGAGCCAGTGGGTGGAGCATTAACGCTGCAGCTGCCGTCTTACCAAGGTACAAACCTGTAACAGGACTGTGCGGCTTTCCTATCACGTGGCCAATGCATTCGTTCATCAAGGCTTGTAAACTCTAGCACCCACAGGAAATGGGAAAGGAGAAGAAAGAATGAATACTCTCTCACTTAGATAATTAGCACAAATTAAGCTTTAGGTATATTTAAAAGAACATGCTATCCTTAGTAAATGTTCTCAACGTTAGTTTAAAATAAAATGGGTATGAACAAGAATTAATGACATACTGTACATAATTTAAAATGTCATACAATTCCCTTTTCATTAGTAAAGCAGATGTGCACTCAGCGCCCTTAATAATGACGTGCACAAGTGAGGACCTGCAATCATCTCCACTATTTGGAGTTAAATAAATTTATATTTTGAACATCTTTTTAATCTGATGGAATTTATCGGAATAACAGTGATAATATTTAACATTTGATATCATGCTCTCAAATGACACACAGTGAAATAGCTAATCCTTGTTCTTCATTAAACTGCTAAAAAGCAGCAACTAGGTCAGCAGTCAGTAAATACGAACCTGACAAATACTTAGAAGCGCCAGCTGCAAACCCACTGCGTGGCTGCTGAGCCACACTGGTCCTGCAGCTGAGTAGCCACTAACGACTCAGCGCTTTAACGACTCGGTTCTCAGCTTTGTCATGACAATTATGTTAAACATATTTTAAAATCACTATTCAATATGAAAAACACACAATCAAGAACAGACAGTGATCAACTTGTTTGTTTTTTAACAGAAAAAACTTCAGAATAGTCCATACCAAGAAGTCATCTTCTGGTAAGGCTGAAATGAAGGCAGGTTCAATGGCTTGCAGAAAGTCAAAACCTTGAGTTGCCCACCTGCAATGAAAAGTGTCAATAATCACAAAAGAACCAAGAAAATGCTACAGCAATTTTAGTCTATACAACACTGGAAAGTGATGTAACTGGAAAATTACTGTCTAGGACAAAACACATTTTCTGTCTTTATATAAATGCCAGGGACTATGTTTACAGCATGTTTTGGGAAAGAAAGACAATATAGCTTCTTAGCAAAGTAACTGGTTACCAATTTGTTTTCCATTTTTTCTAATAACTGGCTTAACTTTCATGAGGGAGGAGAGATTAGCAATCAGGAAGGCCTGTCCAGGGAGAATGTGGACTCGCTTAAAGAAAACTCATTTGGGAACACTAAAAAACAGACAAAAATATAGACACACACACAACTGATGACTGCAGAGTTCAAAATGCTCCCTTTTGTGTTCTCTGATCAGAGTCCCATATGAAGTACAAGGAGGAAGTACTACCAATCCCACACAACTTATGATGGACACATCCTACCTGGTCCTTACCTGGGTCTGGTGCCTCTCCCACTCTCACACTTAGTCAGGACATAATTCATCCATTTCCGGGCAAAGCTTATATATTTGTCTCCAATCTTCTGTCTAAACTCTCCAGACATCAGACGAACAACTTCTTTATGATACTGTAAGATTTCATTTACATCAAAGTTAAGCAGAAAATGATTATACAAATACCTAAACACTATAATACCATATCTGTTTAAAATGACTTATTTCTAAAAACAAAAATCCAGCCTTAGCTGGTTTGGCTTAATGGATAGAGCACTGACCTGCAGACTGAAGGGTCCTGGGTTCGATTCCAGGCAAAGGCACATGCCCAGGTTTCGGGCTCAATCCCCAGAAGGCGGTGGTGCAGGAGGCAGCCGATCAATGATTCTCTCTCATCATGGATGTTTCTCTTTCTCTCTCTCTCTCTCCCTCTTCCCTCCTCTCTAAAATCAAAATATTTAAAAAATCTATAATAATAAAAGCATAATATGCTAATTAGACCAGATGTCCTTCCGGACAAAGCCAAGGCTATGAGGGAAGCCTGGGTCCTGGGTGCCTGCCAGCGGCCAGAGGGAAGCCTGGGTCCCGGGTGCCAGAGGGAAGCTGGTGCCAGCAGCCGGGGGAAGGAAGGCCTACTCTCGCACGAATTTTGTGCATCGGGCCTTTAGTAAATAAATTAAAACAAAAATCCAATGAAAATTTACAGCATGGAGAGTTAGAAAATAATGCCTTAATGCAGTTTCACAAATGTTTTACTCATAGTTTAAATTAAGAATGTGCTCTTATGATATTAAACAACTCTTAAAAGAAGGTTTTTAAATGTAAGTAGATAGCTGTTCACATAAAATAAAAACTGGGCAACTATCTGACAGTTTAAAAGTAAACCAATATTTCCAATATTTAGCAATGGCATAAGAAGACATTCTTGATTAAGTTGTGATTACAATCAATAATCAGATTTGCATACAAGACTCATGACACTTCTTATAAGTTACAAAGCAATTGCCGATTGCACTGTGTCTTTTTTCTTACTCTGTACCTACCTCGAACCCAAAATTGTAGCCCTGAATCATGGCCTCTCGGTGGTACTGCTGCAGCGTGACAGATTCCGATTCGTCGACTTCAGCATCAAATTCTGAAGTGAACATGTGGTCCACTCGGTCAATGGCATCACTTATTCTGTTGCAAAGTTCTAATGCATCATTCTAAAGAGTCCCAAACCATAATTAATCCAAAAAGAAGCAAATCACACAATACTTATGTATTTTAGTGGAAGATTTCTTTCATCATCACAGACATAAACCAGTGCAATATTTCTCAGCCACATTTTTTTGGTTAGTCAAAAGGACTGACCAAAAATAGAGGAAATTATATGACTTTCATTTTTGTCTGTATTAAGTGTTCTTCGATATCTTATGAAATATAAGAGGGACATATCCATAAAATGGTAACGTCTAATGACAATGCGGCCTTGGAACAGATGCTTACAGCATCAATATTTTTACATGTCAACCGCCAGTAGTTTTCCCCTGGCTGGTTGATCAATTTCCAGAGTGAACTCCCAGTGTATTTCTATATGACCTCCACAATGCTACCAAGTCATACCATCCGTCTCACCCCCCTGCACTCCAGTTCAGGGTTCTCAACTAGATTTTATCCCCTCCCCCACGCGACACTGGCAATGGCTAGGGGTATTTTTGGTTGTCACAACTGGAGGAGGAGTAAATCTACTGGCATCTATTCGGTAGAGGTCAGGGATACTGCGAAACATCCCACAGCGCACAGGAAAGCTCTCCAAACAATTACAGACCCAGGACACCAACAGTTCAAGCCTTGTTGTCTCGTTAAGCAACACGACCATAGTGCTCCAAATTGGGCTCCCTTCCCACTCACCTTGAAACACACCCCTATGTACACATGGTCTCCAGACCATCCCCTTCCCCAAACTCTGCCTCCTAACTCCTAACGACTCCCCGAGGCTTAGAAAATAAAACGAGGCTCTCTCCCCAGCCTGACCTACCCAGCCTTAGCGCCACTGCCTCCCGCTGCACGCACCAGGAGCCAGCCGAGCAGACACACCCGACTCTGACATCCAGTGAGCACCCCGCAGCCTGGCCCAGACCGGTGCCCGCACGCTCCTCTGTGAGCCCTCTCAGTGTGCAGTTTCTGAAATCCCCCAAGCCGGAGGCCTCCGTGCCGGCTCTTCCCAGACGCTACGAGCCGGGCTCTCCCTCCTCTGTGGTCAGTGTGGCAGCTCCAGTCCTTAGGCTACGAATCCCTTCAGCTCAAGAGTAATCAGTGTCTGAAGTAGTTTTACACTCTCACTGACTCAAACCACAAGAAAAGACAAAGCCCCTGCCCTGGCATTAGAGTGGGGTGACCGTCTGAAGGGGGTGTTCACAGAGGGATGAGGAAGATGAGGCAGGCGGGGCAGGCTGGAGAGAAACCCATGCTTATTGAGCTCCTTGTCATCTCAGTGCCGCTTCTACCACAAGCCAAGCCTCAGCCTACAGAGAGGACATAGCTGGTGGCCGGGGGGGAAGGGTGGACAAGACCAGGATGATAAATGGAGTACGACAGAGAAAGTGGTGAAAACAGAAAATAAGAGCAGGCACGGCTCTGGCTGGTGGTGAACTCTGAGGCCTGTGTGCCTGTCCACACTGGCTCTGTCTAGTCATCTTGGCTGACCTATCTGTTAAATGAGGTCAGCAAGTCTCTTAGACTATACATTACTGACCTGGAGTACCTCCAGTAAAGGCTGCTAAGGAACAAAAACGTTGGGCTAGGAATGAAGAGACCTAAATTCCAGTATCACCTTTGCTTAATCAACCACGTGACCATTATGAGTCATGTGACTGTTCATATTTCCATCCCTTCTGCAGTTCCAGGAAAGATCCAGAAGCCCTTTGGCTTAGCCATGAGGAAGTGTGGACTGCGCAGAGGGGAAATGGGAGGACAACTGGATAATACTCCGTTACACCCCTTGTGCTACAGGGCGACATCCAAATATACATAAACCGGCTAGGGCTGCGCTGACGGGAATACCTTGAGCTGCTGCAGAGCCTTGGCGATGATGGGCTGGCTGGACGTCTGCTCCTGGCGCAGCGTCAGGAGCCCCTCGATGGACTGCTGGAAGGCTTTCCTCTGGATGAGGAGCTGTGCAGACTGCATGACAACTAGTAGAAGGTTCTCCACCTGCGAGGAAAGGCAAGCACAGCTGACAGCAGGCCCCGTTCCGGCCTCCCCGTTCCAGTCAACCCCATCGGGAATCAGTGCCACCTCAGGGTTCCCGGGCCAGCAGCCACCTGCTGAGAAAGCTGCTGTCCAGCAAAGCTGCTCCCAAGAGCAAGGGCTGCAGTGGGCACTGACGGCCAGGACCTTCAGCATAGTGTGAAGAATCCCAGGGGACGGGGTCACATGATGTCCCGGAAATGTCCCAGAACTCCAGGGAACTCCACACTCTGGGTGCTGTTTGTGTGTGCATGTGTGCGTGTGCATGTGTGCGTGTGCATGTGTGCGTGTGCATGTGTGCATGTGCGTGTGTGTAGGAGCAGCACTGTAGGTGGAAAACACAAGAATAAAAGTGGGATGAGCTCAGGGCCTTGTATGAAACAGTGAAAAACCAGACCTTATTATCTTTATTTTTTAAGTAGTTTGAGTAGATCTGTGATGTGACCTGATGTATGTATTAGAAGGATCATCTGGAAGTACCAGAGCAAACGAATGCAGCAGCGTAGGGAGAGAAGGTGAGGGCTGCAGCAGAGGAGCTAAAGGGCGGTTGGGGTCCCTGCCGTGGTCCAGGAAAGAGAGGAGGCCTGACCGTGGGAACGGCGGCACGCGGAGGAACGTCACTGACTGGCAGTGCCTGGGCTCCCTGGGGCTGTGTGGACTGACGGTAACTGTCCCGCTCTGGTTCGAACACCTGAGTGGACGGAGCACCGTTCCCGGAGACGGAGCGCAGAGGAGGAACCCGTCTGCAGAGTCACGGGACAGGAGGCGGGACTCAGCTCTGCTCAGGCTGGGCTCCAGGTGCACACGACACTCACCACCACTGCCCCTCACTGAATACGGAGAACACGAGGGAGTGTCTTAGGGTTTTAGTGAACATGTTACATAGACGACGGGGTCCCTGCTAGATAGGCTATCGCCTACACTACAAAAACAAAAACCAAGCAGCCAGCAAACCAGAGGTTCCGGAGAACTTGGACTTCTGGAGCTACAAATTCCTTGTAAGGCAATTCCTTGTAGATCATGGCTATACAGAGCTAATGACCTGGCTGAAACAGAAAAGATATAAATATTTCAAGTAGCCCAGTGTAATTTAACATACTTATAGATTTTGATGGAATAGTTCAGTACAAGCAGTGCTACAAAATTCCCTAATGATTCATTTTTCCTAAAAGTATCTTCAGTAAGAAATGCTGCTTCAAGTCAGGGGAAGGCGGCGGGCGGTGTGAGGCCTGGGAGGGGACATACCTGCATGCTTCTCAGGGTCTCCACCGTCTCCACCTGAGGCACGATTTTCACAGGCTGCGACCCCCACGTGGCCCAGCTGTCGCCTGCGGGGTCGCTGTGCTTGGTGAGGAGGAGATGGGTGTCGAGCAGCAGCACGTAGTCCGTGTCCTTTAAGCAGTCCTTTCCTCCTGCGGCGGCGTTAAGTAACGCCAGGATAAAACCCTTCTCCTTGGCGACAGTGTCTGGGACAAACACCTGCAGGTTCTCTAAGCCAGGAATCTGCACCTGGAACAGAGACCACCCACAGCCTGATGACCTTGACTGTGGTGATGGCAGCAGTGTCTCTGTGTCCAAACTCACCATGGTGTATACTCTAGGTAGGTGCAGTTTTTTATGTGCCAATTATACCTCAATAAAGCTCTAAAAATAAAGTTAAATTTTAGCCACTTGAAGAAGGTTTTTCCTTGAATTAAGAAATGCCATAAATTAAAGAAATGTTACTTAAAAAGACAAGCAGGCCTGAGGAAGGCAATGTGGGAAAGGCATGAGCCAGAGCCATGGGGGACAAGCGGCTCAGGTCAGTGACGGGGCCGTGACTGACCGGCGGAGACCCTCACGCTGTGTCCACTCACAGCACAGCCTCTACCTTCTCCGTTTCAACAGCAAAGGAAAGACTCCTCAGGAGGAAGGTCAGCCTGAGACAGCCTCAACCAGTGCTGGTCTGTGACGCCATTATTAAGCAAAGCCGCTACCAGACAGCAAAGCCTGCCGGGGGCGGGCGGGCGGCTGGGCGGCCGGGCGGCCGGTGAAGAAGCCTGAGTCTGTGCGGATGACGTCTGAAACAAGACGTCACCTGACTCGGTGAAAAGGCAAAAGTGTCAGTGCAGGTTCACAAGCTACTCCTGGGGAGGGACCCTAAAGAGCCTTTTAAAGATCATGTTAACAAGAAACACACACACACGTGACTGCCGTACAAGTCACATACACGTGGGTGGAATAAAATTTCTAGTAACAATATCACACAGATTCCAAATGTCAGAGCTCAAAGGACCTAAAGGGGAGAAAAGATGGAAACGCAAAAAGAGGCTCTAGTGATGTCCAGGATGTCGAAGATTTATGTAGGAAGTCTGAATTGTAAGGGTAAAAAACAACTATTTTAAATTCAATATATTATAGTATATACATTATTTTAACCCTTTGAGTGCCAACCAATATCCTAGGAACTTTGCTAAAATTCCCTAAGCATTTTTGCTGACTTTACAGCAGTTTAGGAAAAAAATTATGATAGCGCTCTTGGCACTTTTGGCAAAAGACAGGAGGAACGCGATCGCGCTCCCTGGCACTCTAGGGGTTAAACACGTATGTGTAATTTAATAAAATAAAATATATTGAATATTTAATTATTTTATCTGTAATACAAGTCAATAAGTCAAGTATGAAAAACTTGATTTGGGGGAGATTATGAACAGTCCTATAACGGGGGTCAACATGCGGCCGGCAAAGCCTAAAAGTTTTACTCTCTGGACCTTTAAGAAAAGCTTTCCTGTTCTGGAGTAAAAGTAAGAAAGACAAATATTTCAATTACACCATCAGACTACTTACTTTAACATAATACCATGAGAATACTTACTTTGGCATGTAACATGCGACTACTTACGTTGACATGTAACACGTGACTACTTTGACGTGTAACACATGACTACTTACTTTGATGTGTAACACGACTACTTACTTCGGCATGTAACACGTGACTACTTACTTTGGCATGTAACACGTGACTACTTACTTTGGCATGTAACACGTGACTACTTACTTCGGCATGTAACGTGTGCTACTTACTTTGACATGTAACACGTGACTACTTACTTCGGCATGTAACGTGTGCTACTTACTTTGGCATGTAACACGTGACTACTTACTTCGGCATGTAACACCTGACTACTTACTTTGGCATGTAACACGTGACTACTTTGACGTGTAACACATGACTACTTACTTTGATGTGTAACACGACTACTTACTTCGGCATGTAACACGTGACTACTTACTTCGGCATGTAACACCTGACTACTTACTTTGGCATGTAACACGTGACTACTTACTTCGGCATGTAACGTGTGCTACTTACTTTGACATGTAACACGTGACTACTTACTTCGGCATGTAACGTGTGCTACTTACTTTGGCATGTAACACGTGACTACTTACTTCGGCATGTAACGTGTGCTACTTACTTTGACGTACTGCTTTGATTTCAGGACCTCCAGAAGGTCTCTAATGGGGGCTGAAAGGATGAACTCGGCAGCTATTTCCAGGTCCTAGGGTCACAGACACAACGACACTTCTTTAGAGCTGGCTTTTTTAAAAGTAAGAAAAAGAAAGAAAGTAACAGTAACCAGCCGGACCGCGCACTCACCTTCCTCAGCATCTTGGCGAAGCCGAGTGCCTTGGAGGCTCGCTCCCGGGCCTCGTGGAAGAGCTCCTTGAGGGCCCGGCTGATCTCCACCACAGACCGCCTGCGGGGATGGAGACAGTGAGGGCACAGGAGCTACAGCCGGGGAAATGCAGAGAGAAGATGAAGCAAGTTCCAGACCACAGTCATACAACTGGAGGCGTTATAAATGGAAACGTATTCCAGATGTTCAGGAGCTTTCTCCCCCGTTTTCCAGAAAGCACTGTGTTCTTTAAGTAAGTAGGGTACACTCCAACACCTTCAAACAACAGTAAGCTCAACTTTCTAAAGACTTCATTACAATAATTTCCTGGAGTTTGAGACAAGTTCTTAACTCCCAACTCATCATCTAACTAAAAAGGCATATATCCAACCCTGGCGGGTGAGTCAGTTGCCTGGAGCATTGTCCCGTACACTGAAAGGTCCAGGGTTCGATCCCTGGTTGGGACACATACAGGAAGCAATGGGTTGATGTTTCTCTCTCACATTGATGTCCTCCCCCCGTCTTTCTCTCTCTAAAATCAATAAAACAACCCCATAGCCTTGGGTAAGGATTTTAAAAAAGCACACAAAAAAGGCACATATCCAGAGGTAAGCCAGTAAATGGTTAACGACGGGCTTCACCCAAAACACTGTCTTATGTGGTGTTTGTCAATGTTCCTGTGTACAGACCAAGACCCCCACCACATCCGAGTTCAGGCTGCCAGCCCCACGGTGCTAAGCGGTGACTGGGAAGAGAATGGACCGTCTATCGCCATCAGCTCTCTGACCCAGGAAAAGCCAGCCCCAGCGCCCACTGCACCTGAACCACCTTCAGATGCACCCCTAAAAAACCACCAGAGGGTCATTCTCTGCCCTAGCTCACACCTTAGTGCTTGAGTTCCCATTTTCGTTTTAATCCTCCCTATTAGCTCTCAAAACTGCAAGCCCCACGAATGGATTCTCCCACCTCTCAGCCACTCAATATTCCCCCGGGTGAGAACCCAGGTGGTCACTACTTTGTGTATCTGTGGCATAAGGACAGCCCTGGGCTCTGAAATCCAAACTGTGTTCGCACAAACTCCGGATGGTGAGCGCACAGTTCAGCTCTACAGAAGCCACTCCCCGAGCACGGCCGGAGGGTGTGTCCTAGCGCACCCTGACTGATCGCTGGCTGCACAATGGCTACATGACTGATGTTCAGGCCACAAAACAGCGATTTCACATGATTCAGTCTAAATACCACCTGCACGGAACTGAAGAAATGCAATTTTTGAGTGAGCCACGATTCCACCCACTTCAGCTTCAAGTTCCATAGAAGGCATACACTGAGCATGAAAACAATACCAACGCAGCAAGGGTCGATGAAAGGCGCTGAAGGACGGCCACAGGGGCACCCTCCCTGAGCTGAGGACATTCCAGAACACGGGGAGGGGGGGCGGGGTTCTGCTCTACTCATTTTCACCCACTGACACTACCTATTCCTTTCCCCAAGGACAACATTTCACCAGGCTACATGAACTCACTTCCAAAGGAAATGGCACAGACTCATCCCTAGAGACCATATGAAAGACAGCATAGAAGTCAATCCCGCTAGGTCTACTACCAAGTTCAGAAAGTGCAAAACAATTTGGACTGATTTCATCACCTGATTTCATCTGAAGCACTGCTGTCATCGGCACTGGTCCAGAACTCAGCGCAGCTCTCCTGCAGGCCGACCTCCAGGAAGCTGCCCGTGGATTTCAGCAGCATCCCTGCAATGTCGCTGAGGACGAAGAGCAACAAGAGTCAGCCGGGAAGACCGTGCTCATTGCACTACTGCTCCTAAAGGAGGGACCGAGAGGTCATGTTCCAGCTCGTGTTTCAACCATTTAGAAAATGACCGGGAGTTTTCCAATAGAAACTCATGATTAATGTGAAACCGTGTCAACACTGGTTGTGGCATGTATCTACCTTTTTCTATTACCATGGTTTTCGTTATAAACCTTAAAATTTTAGGTTACTTTCATAGTAGCTGTGTAATTATTCACAAATGTTATTTTTCTCTTAAACAAATGTCCAAAATGATAAAATGGCCTTAAATATATATCTATGACAAGATTTTTTAAAAAGCTTAATAAACTAAACGATAATATAAAGCAATAAAGTGAATTCCTTAAATGTAACTGTTTTTAAATTTTCCCTCACAATTAGCTCTTCATGGTTATTAAACATAAGATATTATATTTCGCTGATGGTGCTCTCTGAGTATGGAATCTAAATACTAGGGCTAAAGGCAAATGCAAGTAGATACATAAACCTGAGTGCAGTACAAGTCCAACAGCAGCTCGACTGCTGTGACACTCAGGGAAGAGGCTTATGACCTGGTCAGAGAAAGCAGCCGGGCGCGGCCAGTACCAGGGGCGGCCGGCGGTCAGTGGGAGGGGAGCTATCAGAGGAGCAGGTGGAACCTGGAGGAAGGCGAGGTGTCAGTGGGCCTCGCGGGCAGGGCGGGTTAGAACAACAGAATGGCCGGGGAGAGGGGTCAGTCAGTGTCCAGGGAGGACAAGAAACACGATCACCAGCGTGAAGACGTGTAAAGCAGGAGGCACGGCTGTGGATGAACCGTCCACCTGAAAGGAGCTGGCGGGGACAGGACAGGAAAGCGCAGGCCTGCGTGTGGAGGACCGCGGATGGCTGGACACACACCTGAGTGGGAAGCGACGAGGAACAGGCACTACCACAGCAGTGCACAAGGGTGCTCAGGACGGACTTACGCCACCAACACTGAGTATCTGTTCTATACTACACAGCAGCGGCCAAAACAGACCCTATCCCGCCACCGAATAGGAATAAAAAGGAAACTACAGAGCACTACAGGTCAGCGTCATACGGAGAGAAGTACGAGAGGAGAGAGCTAAGGAGGACTTGTGGGTAGGAATTTCAACTTTAAATCTGGACAAAGATGTAAAGGAAGCAGACACATGAGTCTTGAAAATGGCTGAGGGAGAGCAGTCCCAGCAGAGGGACAGCAGGTGAGAGCTGAGGGGGGACGTGGAGCCTGCGCGGCCTGAGCGAGGCAGGGAGGGAGCCGCTGCACTGCACAGGAGGCCCAGTCAGGAGGAGGAGGCTTAACGAAAAGCACTGGCAGCCTCACTGGCCACCGCAAGCACCTGCTCTCCCTTTCCTGAGCAAGAGGGGAGCCACCGGAGAAAACGGACGGACGCACACTTAACAAGGCACCTATGGTGTTAAGGGAACTACAAGGGGTGAAGGGGGCAGCAGAGACTAGAGAGCTCCGAGCTGCGGCAACAACGCAACAGGAAACATCAGGCCCCAGCTGAGTGGAACCGGGGAGCTGTGAGCAGGGGAGGGTCTGGGCCGCTCCTGCGGGACGGCCACATGGGTGAGGGGCCTGTGAGAGATGAGAGCAGTCAGGGCTGGGAGACCCAGCACATGAGGCAGAGGCCGTGCCAACACAAGGGATGCATCAGAACCAGGATCACGACAGTCCAAGGGGCGGGCCCATGGGCAATGGAGGGCCCGGAGCTTCTCGGGAGGCACACCGTGAGCGCAGGGCCAGAAGCTGCGCTGCAGTTTCAAGGTCAAGTGAAAGATAAAGACAAAAGCACTGCAGGGGAATGAGGGCGCACACAGGGAAATCAGCATGGGCTGGCAGTGACACGTAACGGTAACCCTTTCAAAAAATTTCTTCAGCTGAGCTTGACAGCCTGGAAACATAACGCAAACAGAAGCAATGAATGACAGGAGAGCGGAAGAATGGCGAGATGGTGACCATGGCAGGGAGTGTGTCCTTAGGCTGCCGAGGTGAACCCATCTGCACAGGACAGCACCCGACAGAGGGGGCCCACAGCTGAGGGACTGGAGAGCTCTGAGATGGAGCGCGCTCACTGCTCACACAGAACACAGAGAAGACTTGATACAAACTGGAGGTTAGGGGAGAGGCGTGCATGCCAGATTCCGAGATACCGAGCACAGATGGAGGCGGTGGAGCTGCGAACGATGACCTTCGAGGTCAGAAGACCGCTCTGTGGGAGCTGAGGTCCTGAGGACTGCCCAGGGAGGGAAGGCCCAGGGAGGGAAGGCCAAGGAGCTGGTGCAAAGACCCTCAGGAAGGAGACAGCAGTGACATGGCTGCTGAGCAGCTGAGCGAGGCAGCCCCCAACAGCAGCAGCCTGGAGCCCAGGGAGGGAACCTCAGTGGTGAGCACAGGCCACTGATGCGCCGAATCTGCATCAGGTACCTGCACTCAAGACACATTCACTTTCTACAACAACAGACCAGGGACCACTCCCCCGATGGCTTACTGTCTGCATTTCTAACCCTCCACCGTATGCCCCTTTCGCAGGGATTCCGCCGTCAGCGTGACAGTCCCAAAGCAGTGCCGGGGGTGCGTCCTTCCTCGGCCAAGCAACCCGAGGACTGCCGCACAGGCCCCCTCAGAGGCTGAGAGTCTGCTCCTGGTCACGTGAACCCAAGGCAGGACTTCTCCACCGCAAGACTGACACTTGGGGAGAATAACTTTGGTTCTGGGGGCCGTCCTGTCACCGCAGGATGTCTGGCAGCGTCCGGGGCCTCTGCTCACTAGATGTCAGTGGAAACTCCCAGTCCTACAATCAAAGCTGCTTCCAGACATTGCCAACTGTCCCCGAGGGGTGGGGGTGGGGGTGGGGGTGGGAACGGGCAAGCACCTTGGTGAGAACCACTGCTTCAGGGCTAACGAGCTTGGGAGAGGGGCACACAGATAGGAACTCAACGCTCCAGGGCACAGAAGGGAACTGGGCAGCAGACTGGGAGTGGGAGTGAGGAAGGCAGACGGGTGCCCTTGGGAGCACCAGGGTTCCTACCAGAAAAGTTTCCCAGCCTGGGCCTCTCCTCCCCGGATGTAATGGGTTATTTCTTTGGTGAAATTCCATTCTTCTTCTAACAGATTTTTTAAACTGTGGGATGCTTGAGGTAACTGCTGTAGCATTTGGATCCAGCTTCTCATGTAATCAAAATATACCTTAAAATACAAAAATGTAAAGGGTGGTATTTGAGAACAGACTTTGGCAACTCACGACTTTCAACTGTCAACATGAAAGCTACGCATCAGAGAGCCATGGGAGAGGGCCGTTGGGCATGGCACTGTGCTACCAGTGAGGACTTCTCTTAAATTGTGTAGCTCAGCCCTCACAGTGTAACATTGTATCCACAATCCCTTCAAATTACAGAGAAAATGACTAAAATGTTCACAATGCAGAAAAAAGTACAATCAAGTTTTAAAAATTAAAAAGAACAGCAACCAGAAATGTAATGATTAATATCCTGCAGACACTCCTCCTGCAGGAGGCGGGGATCTTCACTTGTTTAACTTTAGACAGTAGCTTACGTGTTGACAGGAAATGAGCACACTTCTCACCATCCCTTCCCAATATCCAGATTTTTGTGCTATAATTTTTCAAGGCTTATGACATATAAATCATGATCTGTAACTAAAATACCCAATTTTTTTGAAGTGGGGTTTATGGTCACATAAGTCTATTAAGCTTTTCCATCCCTAAATTCTTATTTTGACTTACCTGTTGCTTAGTAGGGTTTCACTATCAATGAGTTTTTCTCAAGACGGGTTCACAATTGTCTATCACAAAAAAATCACCGCCTACCGATCCTTTTACGAAAGGGTAAGTTGACTGCGTAGAAAATATCTGGGTCACACGTTCTCTCCCTGAGAACTGTTCGACACCACTGCACTGCCCCTGCGCTGTTGCCAGGATGAAGAAATATGATGCCAGCCCAACCTGGCTGTCCCCACCTCCCGCCCTGATGACTATTATCTTTGCTGGGTGTTTACAGGATGCCTCCTCTAGTCTTGGATTCCTGTATTTTCATCTGGTTATGGCTTCGGCTCACTGGAGCGAATGTTTTCTGCGACCATTACAACTGTCAGTAGGCAAGTTTCAGGTCTTTTCTTCATCTCGAGAGCCGTGTCTTCTGTTGAATCTTGGGTGCTCTGGGCCCTCCTCCATCCACGCTGTGCGCCATCAGTCTCCAGTCCTGGGCCCAGCTGTGTGTGTGGAATCTGCAAGCATGGGTCTACCACCATCCTCTCCAAATGAGCACGGAAAGCGAGCAGCTCCCAGGAGCTCCCTCTCTGCTCCTTTGCTTGCCCTTGAGATTTCTAGAACAGTGATTGTCAACCATGTGCCACAAGAATTTTTAAACATGCAATACCTGATTATTAAGACAGGGGCACTAACCTATTCTCCCTTAAGACTGTCAAAAAAATAAATAACAACAGCCAACACAACAATAGCCATCCAGTGTGAATAAATCAAAATGATACCTATTATTTTTTGTTAGATCAGCAAAAAATATAACACAGCCTTTGGTGTGCCATGGAATTTTAGTAATTAGTTATGTGCCATGAGACTGAAAAGGCTGAATGTTGCTACTCTGGGAACACTAATTGTGAGTGTCTGGCCCTCCCTTGTGTGTCTTCTAACAATATCACACCTTGTTATCAAATATGAATCTTTTCCTTTTTCTTTTTTAAATATACTTTTATTGATTTCAGAGAGGAAGGGAGAGGGACAGGGAGACAGAAACATCAATGATGAGAGAGAATCACTGATTGGCTGTCTCCTCCACGTCCCCCCCTGCCCCCGGTGATTGAGCCCGCAACCTGGGCATGTGCCCTGACTGGGATTCGAACTGTGACCTCCTGGTTCATAGGTGAACACACAACCACTGAGCCAAACCAGCCGGGCAAATATCACACCTTTTAAACTCTTTACATGGTTCCTTACATCTGTCATATGTTCCTACATCACACCTTCTGTATGTTGTCGTGGTTACCTCTGAGGCCAGGGCATGAGTTAGCACGTTGACAGCTTCCACATGGACTTGCTGCCTCAAACACCAAGTTACTTCCTTGGCCTGCACGCACACATCCCTCGGTTTTTAAGTCAGAGATGACCAGCACAGAGCAGCCCTCGAAGTCACATTTGGTCCACATCACCTCTTGCCAATCACTGCTGCCCTCACCCTCCCACCCGGCTCTCAGGCAGCAGTCGCCCTGCTCAGATGGGGAGCTGCAGACAACAGAAGTGTCCCTCTCCTTCTCCGTCTGTCCTGCAGAATGCCATCTACAACAGGACCTCACGGGGACACCCTGCTTCTCTCCTGACTGTCCACACCCCTACATTCACAACGCTATTAATCAATGGACGGGCCCTCCATATCTGGTCACCCTCATTTTAGTCTAAATGTTAAAGTAAATAATTGTAATAGTCTTTTTTGGGGGTGGGGGGTGGGGGGTGAATATTGTGATCAGTATCCTCCTTTACTGAACATGAAATGTTTCTCTTTACTCTTCCTTCCTTTTGCTGTTTTTGGTGAGCTTCAAGTAAACATAATCTGACGGCCAATCCAAAGGCCATTCTCTCCTTCCTTCCTCATAAAAACACTGATTTGGTCTGGGCTTCCCCAGTTCTGAAAACATGCCCCTGCACTTACGCATCTAGCACTCTTTGGGGCACAATTTTAAAAACATGGTAATTGCTAGTTCTTCATCTGTGAGACGATGGAGAAAAACGAAGGGAAACTGCGCCTTACACAGATCATTAGTAGCAAAGCTCAAACTAAATCCTAGGCAAAGCAAAGCACATTTTCTCTTTTTAAACTTCTGTTGAGTCATCCACAGAGAGAGAAAAATTAGTTTGCTTATGGCTTTATACCATAAATTTTCAATGATAAAGACGTTTCCGACATAAGAAATATACTAGCACAGTACTTTAAAACACAGCCACATTTTAGACGTACTGGTCTTTTATGTATTCTCCCAAACAACCAGGAAACAATTTCAAAATCAAAATTATTTCCGTAACACGGCGGATGTGGCCAGTCCCCTTCCCAGTCACGTCTTCCTGCGCGCCTTCCACTCAAGAGGCTGGCACTGAGTGTGTGGAAGCCCAGCCTGGCCAGCGGACTAGGGGCAGCTGCTGGGCAGGGCTTCCAGGAGCGCCCTGCTCTGGACTTAGCTGCAAGCACACTTTCCCGTCTACCCTTCTCTTTTCTCTCAGCCTAGAAAGGGGGTGGTAGCTGGACGTGCGGAGCCATCCTGAGGCAGCACAGTGAGGCATCAAGCAAGGATGAAAGCATTGCAAAAACAATATACCTACCAGCGAGGTTGTTTTCTATATTATTTCATCAACCTGTCATATTATGCAATCAGCTGTGTCTCTCTCTCTATTGAATCTAACATGTATTTACTGCACATTAAGACTCTACCAGACATTACGGAAGACAAAAGAACTTCAAGGCATAGCCCGTGGCTTGTAAAGCTTTCAGTCTAATTAGGGGAACCTGAGAACAGAGACTTGCTATGTCATTATGTATTAAGTAGTACAGTTGTAATTATAACTGCTGAGAGTTCAAAGAAGGTTTAGATAAAGCCCATTAAAGGTTAAAACTGTCAAATAAGCTTTCTAGAAAAAAATAAAACTTGAAAGTAAGTCTCAGGTGGGAAAATAAAGAGAAGGGACGTTTTGAGCAGGAAGAAATAGTATGAGCAAAAGTCCAACGGTTAGAAAGCACAGGTACGTACAATGCATGGGAGGAGACCAGGGGCTCTTTTTGGAAAGAAATACAAGTCAGTCTGCTCACGTTGTTTACAATCCCGTGCATGTGCCAGGTTCCTCACGTAACTCCTGACTCCTCAAGACTCAGCTGCCTCACCGTCCAGTGTAGGTGTCCCATCCCTAACCCTTCCTGGCATCTCGGCACAAGGCTACCTCAGCACTTCCTCCTCAGGGAGGAATATCAATTTTGCCCAATTCTTCAGACTGAGTTTCGTAGGACTTGTTAACTGTATACCCGGAGCCGGGCAAGGTCCCTCGCACATCCGAGGTACTAGAGATACAGCTGATGACAGATGGCTCAATAAAATACGACCAGGCTATGATTCTATTTCGGGGCCATCTGCTACAGACCCACAATGAAACAGTGAAGTAGAATAGGCTATAAAACAATCGGTTAAAAAACAGCCCTCACACACACAGCCAGACAGACCTGGGGGACACGCCCCCGCGCCTCACCATCAGCATCTCCTGCAGGTCCTCCTCGAAGGCATCCATGTTGCAGTCGGCCTTCTCCAGGCCGTGCCGGACACCGTGCAGCATGAACTGGTAGTACTGCTTCATCAGAAGGCCGCCCTTCAGCACCTCCTTACACTCTCGGACCAGCTGCGGGGACAGTCACAGCTCCGTCATCTCACACATCCTGACCAGGTTAGGTATCGATTTTCAGTTCCCACCTGAATCCTCAAAGAACTCCAACACCCACTCCCCAAACGAATCCTTACCTCTGAAAAACCTAAGATATTTTCCAGATTCTTACACAATATCTTAGTCTCAATTGGATGAGAACAAAACAGTAAAAATAAAGTATGGGTGCAGAGCGAAAATGTCACATAAACAAAAACTGATTTGCTAAAATATACCCTCCTACAAAGAAATTTACATAGGAAATAAAACCCATAGAAAGATATATTTTTCTACTACTTTACATTATAAGACAAGGTATAGAAGAGAAAAATCTCATCCCTTTTAATCATAATAAAGATTCAAATGTACTTATCACAGAGCATGGGACCTTTGTAATAGTTTAGCATAATTTACCTACAGGGGTTTATGGCATTCACTATCAAAAAACTATACTAATCCACAAACAAACCCAAGATTAACCTGAGGAAATTAGATGTTTACATGTAGCTTAAAAGGAATGAAAAAAATAAATTTAAAGAACTTAAAATATCTAATTTTAAGTTTCCAGTCTTTAAAGACTGCTATTAATAGGATATAGGTCATATCATCATCCTACTTTTATATCCTTTTTGACAAGGAAGTAAATAATAGGAAGGCTGCACCACAACCCTGTATGTGAGGACTGCATGTAAAGAACATTTCAATCACCCTACAAAGAGCAGCTTTGAAAACACTACTCAGTTTTCACTATTTGCAACAATTACAGAAAAAATCCTCAAAATAAAAATCATAAGCCTGTGGAGTAATATAATGATTGCTAGATGTTTGTAAACAGTCTCTGAAACAAACCTGCTTAATACTCAAGAGAGATGGCTCTCCCGCAGGTCTCTGCTCCAATCTCAACTTGAGGCATTCGTGGATGACATTCAGGAGGACCCGGCAGAGGACCAGGAAGGCAGGTTCGAAGGAGGGTAAGTCCATGGCCTCGAGCTCGGCCCAGGACACAGCGCTGCACTCCTGCTCGGAAGTAGCGGGCGACCGGGACAGCTGCACATAGTCGGAGCCCCACATGGGGTCTGGAAACTCAGAAAACTGTAGCAACATTCAACACAGGCGAAAGAGCGTGCATGAGGGTGTAGTCATAAACTATTATTCTCTATCATTTGCTGACAAATCTACAAAAACCATCATTTTACAGGAAAAGTTATCTTGAGAATAATTTAACATTTCAATTTTAATGTTTTCTAAAGCAAAAAGTTCTAAAAGTATTAGGAAACCGTAACAAGAACTAAAACCAAATTGCAATATTTTTGTCAAGAAAAAAAAATAGTAGAAATAGAATCAAGTTCATCTTTTTCATCATGTATTTTTTATTAAAATGGTCAGAACACTTATATTTAAGGTTATAGTATTACCCACAAGTACCTCTACATTGAGAAAAACTAGAAAATATTCGAGAAAAGACTATAAAACCAGATAGCCATTTATCTATAATAATAAAAGTGTAATATGCTAATTAGACCGGACGTCCTTCTGGACGACCTTCCAGGCGAAGCTGGGGCTGCAAGGGAAGCCCGGGTCCTGGGTCCCAGGTCCCAGAGGGAAGCCAGTGCCGGCAGCCAGGAGAAGGAAGGCCTATTCTTGCACGAATTTCGTGCACTGGGCCTCTAGTGTAAACGTAAAAACCAGTGCATTCAACACATTCTTTTGTCCATTTTTCCTCCTGACCTATACTGAATGACACTGGTAGAAAAATCAGGAAGAATTCATAAAACTGACCTGGCTAGTCTCACTCAAATATCTGTTATTTAATGCTTCCTGGGGCCCCTAATGTTGCTCACCATTGTATTTCCCCCCATAAAACATGGGGTTTGGAGCTTCCCCACTGTTTTTAAACCTCTGGCAACATCATGCTGACCAACCATATTCAAAGACCTTGCCTTCTCCTTTTGAGAACACTGAAGCCATCAAAATTTGAAAATCTCAACTTTTCTTCAACTTAAAACATCACCAATCAATAGGTATTCTGCCTCTAAATGTTCCATGCGGTGCTTTAAATATTTTGTACTTAGGGGCCAGCATTTAAAAGTTAGAAGATTTTACACGAAAATCTGGATCTTTTTGTTCTGTTTGACACACTGGACCCACAGTGCCCACATGACAGCACCTGGCCGGCTCAGTTTACCACAGTGCCCATCGTTTCTCACTCTTCACGGCCACCTGTCCTCTTTCTCCCGCACGCGCCACATTCCTGGCCAGGCCTGTAGATGCTCCAGTTGGTGCAGTGACCCTACTGCAGGAGGCAGGATGTGTACTGGCTAAGCGCATGGCCTTGCAGCCAGTCCCGGGCTCGCGTCCTGCTCCAGCACTCACTGTGTGCAACCATGACCCTCCACATGGTCCGTATTCAGTGCCCACTCGCCACGGGTCTGGAGCTGCTGCTGCTGTCACGGACCCGCTCTCTGCTACAAACCGGAGCACTACTTCCTACTGGCCCACACATCAGTGTGCCTCTTTAAGAAAAACAAAACCTACAGGCAATGAGCGAGTAGGTGCTTATTAGCTTGACACCTCAATTAAAAAGTTATGTAACTTCACGAATGAAATCAGACAGGAGATGCTTGGCACAAATAAAAAGTGACCTATAAACACTGCATGAATGAGCACTGGTTGTGAGAGTGGAGGTGGGGAGTACTGTCACCTCCCTACTGCTCCCAGTGGGCTCACTTGCAGCTGCACTGGTGCTGGTTGGTCTGGCTACGCAGGCAGGTTAAAAATGCCAGTGCTCCTCTGCCCAGCCAGTGTAGCTCAGTGGTTGAGCGTCAACCTGTAAACCAGGAGGTCAGGGTTCGATTCCCAGTCAGGGCATATGTCCAGGTTGCGGGCTCAATCCCCAGTGTGGGGTGTGCAGGAAGCAGCCTACCAATGATTCTCTCTCATCACTGGTGTTTCTATCTCTCTCTCACTCTCCCTCTCCCTTTCTCTCTGAAGTCAATAAAAATATATTTAATAAAAAGAAAAATGGCAGTGCTCCTACCCTACCTGGGAGACTCAGAATTGCCTACAACCAGAAGGACGGCTGTGTGTATCTGTATCTGTCAGAGCTCTCCAGGAGATGCACATGTGCAGTCAGGTTTGGAAACCATGAGTATAGCTTAAAGTCTGCTATCCCCAAATCCTAGGTTTGAATCTCTCTAACAATCTATAGCTTCTGTGATTTGGGCCCAGTTATCTACTCTCCATATATGAAAAATACAGAAATAAAAATGCCACTTCATTTAGCTACTGTGTCTAGCACATGGTAAGGCTCACTAAATGGTAGTTTATTATAAATGCATATCCTCGTTTCTATAGCCTTTGTCCACTCTGAATATAAAAGGCAACCTCTTCAGGAAAAATTAGCATAATTATTATTAGATCCTAAATGATATTTCATTGGCCACTAAACTTACAATCTATATATATACAGTAAGTTCTCAGGTTACGTCAGAGATCCGTTCTTATGGTTCAATGTAATGTGATTTTCGCCATAAGTCGGAACCCACCTACATAAGCACTTACATCACTCACATGGAGCACACACACAGCAGTAATGAAGTGAAACAGTAAAAAAATAGTTTAAAAGAGAAGAGAACCAAGATGGCAGCACAGGTAAGCACCTGTACTTGCTGCCTCTCACAACCACATCAACACCACAACTAAATGGCAGAACAACTACCACCCAGAACCGCGGGAAGCCTCGCTGAGTGGAAGTTCCACAACTAGAGAGGTGAAGAAGGCGCACTGAGACTGGTAGGAGGTGCAGAGGTGCGGAAAGTGCTGGCACCTGGATGTGCTGCTCTTTTAACCAGGAGGGAGATACAAGCTCCTGCTTGCTCTGAACTCCTGCTCCGGGTGAGACTCCGGGGGACCCAGGCACATATGGGGAGAAACTGGACTGTCTGGCATCGGGACAGGAACGCGAAGGCGGCTTTCTCTCAGAGGTGCTCGCAGCAATCATTGTTCCTGCACGGGTACATGGGACGCGGAGGACCAGGGACTTCTCCGGTTCAGGGCTGACTGGCAGCCATAGCTGTTTGCTCCACCCTGGTGATTCCTAGAGTCCCTGCCCCACCCAATTTACAACTCCACCCAGGCTGTGCGCATCAGCTTTTGCATATGAATGGCCTATTCTTTCACCTAAAACTTGTCAAACTGCAGCTGGGTCAGAGAGCACCAGAGCTTCCAAAAGAAGGCCCAAGGCCCAGCAGCAGCAGCCTGCCTTGTTTCACAGCTGGGCCTCGTCTGGGCACTTCCAAACCCCATACAAAGAGGAGGAATCTGCAGATGTCTCTGTAGCTCCTGCTGGGCAGCCCCAGACAGTGGCTGACCTTGCACCTCCTTGGAGATCCAAGAGCCAGTGTACCCAGTGGTCAGAGTGAGACCATCCAGATTACAACTCCTCAGACCCATAAGAGACACAATCATGGGGCAAACTCAATGAGCACCTAAGCCCCACTGAAACAAGTCCTGCCCCATAAGGGTGTCTCCTGTGCAACAGATCTTCCAGTGTAGACACAGCTGGTCATCACAGCCAATTGGCCTGGAGGTCAATTCCTCCCAGTGATACCAACAGCAATCAAGGGTTAACTACAACAAGACTGTGCACACAGCCCACAAAGGGGTGCATCAAGAGCATCCAACTCAGGTGACTGGGGAAGCTGAGCCACTGGGCCCTATAGGATACCAACCACACAAGGCCACTCTCTCAACTCAAGGAGACTTAGCAGCTACCCAGTACATAGAAACAAACACAGGGAAGCAGCCAAAATGCGGAGACAAAGAAACAAGTCACAAATGAAAGAAATGGATGAAAGCAAAATACTGGATATAGAGTTCAAAACCACAGTTATAAGGTTACTCAAGAATCTTCTAGAAACATCCAAGATATTCAGTGAGGCCCTCAAGGATATGAAAAAGGACCAACTAGAAATTAAGCATACACTGACTGAAATAAAGAATAATATACAGAGATCCAACAGAAGACTAGAGGATCCTAAGAATCAAGTCAAAGATTTGAAATACAAAGAAGCAAAAAACACCCAACCGGAAAAGCAAAAAGAAAAAAGAATCCAAAAATATGAAGATAGTGCAAGGAGCCTCTGGGACAACTTCAAGCGTACCAACATCCGAATTATGGGGGTGCCAGAAGAAGAGAGAGAGCAAGATACTGAAAACCTATTTGAAGAAATAATGACAGAAAACTTCCCCTACCTGGTGAAAGAAATAGACTTACAAGTCCAGGAAGTGCAGAGAACCCCAACCAAGAGGAATCCAAAGAGGACCACACCAAGACACATCATAATTAAAATGCCAAGGGCAAAAGACAAAGAGAGAATCTTAAAAGCAGCAAGAGAAAAACAGTTAGTTACCTACAAGGGAGTACCCATACGACTGTTAGCTGATTTCTCAACAGAAACTATGCAGGCCAGAAGGGAGTGGCAAGAAATATTCAAAGTGATGAATAGCAAGAACCTACAACCAAGATTACTTTACCCAGCAAAGCTATCATTTAGAATTGAAGGTCAGACAAACAGCTTCACAGATAAGAAAAAGCTAAAGGAGTTCATCACCACCAAATTTGTGCTTAAGCACAGTATTATATGAAATGCTGAAAGGTATTCTTTAAGAAGAGGAAGAAGAAGAAAAAGGTAAAGATAAAAATTATGAACAACAAATACATATCTATCAACAAGTGAATCTAAAAATCAAGTGAAAAAAAAATCTGATGAACAGAATGAACTGGTGAAAATAAGAGAAATCAGAGGCATAGAAAGGGAGTGGACTGACAATTCTCGATGGGGAGGAGGTGTGGGGGTGCGGGAAGAGACCGGACAAAAACTGTACACCTATGGATGAGGACAGTGGGCGGGGAGGGTAAGGGGATGGGGTGGGGTGGGAACCGGGTGGCGGGGAGCTATGGGGGGAAAAAAGAGGAACAACGGTAATACTCTGAACAATAAAGATTTAATAAAAAATTTAAAAGAAAGATAATTCCTGACCTTTACTTGTGGTAAATAAATAATAAAAAACATAAAGCACATATGTACATACGTCAAAACGACGGAACTTTTATTTTTAATAAATACTGTAAATGGGAGATGGCGACGTAACCATGAAATGACGTACGTCGAGTCTGAGATAACCCACGGACTGCCTGTATATAAAAGCCTAAGCGACCATTATGACCGAACGACCAGTGCACCAGTCGCTATGATGCACACTGACCACCAGAGGGCAGATGCTCAACACAGGAGCTGCCCCCTGGTGGTCAGTGCACTCCCGCAGCCAACCTCCCACGGCCCCTCCCCCCTCCCAGCCCTGATCACGGCCAGGCCTAGGGACTCCAACCGGTGCATGAATTTGTGTGCCAGACCTCTAGTAATTATATAATCAGTTCTCATTCAAACGAAAGTAATTGATGGAGTTACCCAAAATCCTCCTAGAATTTGAGGTAATATGCATGGTAATCTACAAAGTCAGACAGCTAATTTTTTTGTATATTACATTAAAATATAAGTTTTCATTTTATCTTTCTCTTCCTCTGAAAAAATATATATTTCATAAGTTAAAAAAAAAGGAAGAAGCACAAATTAACCATATCACAATCTATGGCTCAAATATGCTAGGGGTTTTTAACATATTAAATGTACAAAACCCACAGTCTGTACAACACAAAGAGTGAACTTCACACAGTTGGCAAGTTTAAAATCAACTGGGACACTGGGAAATCCCAGGACAGAGTGCAGACGAGATAAATGAATCTAACTACACTATAAATGTATGATATAACCTTACTGAACAGGGTAAAGGAAAAAGGTGCTAACCTAACTAACTTTGGAACACTGTGTTCTATAAGGCTAAAGACAAAAGAATGGAATTATACACTGTACTCTAGCTGGTAACTTTATTCCTCACAAGGTACTAGGGAGCAATTCTGAAACTAATTTACACCCGTAAAATACACAATTATTTGGTAATTAAAGGTTAAATACGTACTTTAAAAAAATATAGAATAGTCTAGCCCATACTAACTTAGAGTTTGCTTCAAAAGAGGAAAAATTATAACAAAACTTACTTCTGTAGTATTTTACTATTTATACAAATGTTGTTTTAAGCCTCACAACAACCCTGTGAGGTAGGTAGGAAGTCATTATACCCATTTTACAGATGTGAAGACCTAGGATCAGAAAGATTAAGTCATTTACAAAGTTATGTGGCGAGAAAGAGCCACATCAAGGAATAGAATCCAGTTATTTGATTTCAAAACTGTGCATCTTTCCCCAACATACTTAGTAAAAACACTAAAGCAAAACAAACCCAGATGGGAGTGTACGTGTATTCATGTACTATACCTCCCCTTACAGAATTATGTCCCTGAAATGGGAATAAAAATAGTCTTTCTTTCCAACCAAGCTAATTATTTCAGAGCCTTGTCTTTTATTAATTTGGATTAATCTCCAATACAGAAAAGTTTCTACTTTAGCACTCGGTTACTCTTTCATTATCTGACAAACATAATGTTTCATAAACCAAAATTTAAAACAACAGGGGCTTCTGTGAAGCAAACTATGTACAGATAATTTTAATTTTAATTAACAAATCTTTAATCACACACTTATTAAGCTTTGAATTTGTATGTTTCTTTTTTTCTACAACAAGGATAACATATTCATTTAAATCTCACTTGGTCAAACCAAAGGAACATAACTTTGATGGCAATCCAAAACTATGGCTACCTACTACTAACACAAAATGCAATGATATCTTGTTCCAACATATCTAAGGATGCAAAGCACTCCTGCTAGTAGCGATGGTTCATTGCCAAAGAGGGTCTGGGGGAGAGAGACAATGTGGGTGACAGCATGGAAAGCAGTTTTATGAAGCCCGGACACACCTCCCCGAGCCCTCACCATCACACCACCTGCCCCTCTCCGACAAGAAGCACTGATTCAGAGAAGCGGTAATACTGCCAGAGCCTTTTCATTCATATTACTTCAACCCTAGTGCTTCACAATAAATATTAATCATCAACCCTGGCTTGCCTACACATTTGCTCACTGGAATTGAACCATTCCAGGCAAAAACCTAGACCAGAGTAAGCTCTTCCCCATCTGGAACATGTGGCAAATCCTCACTACAGATCTAGTTTTGCTCTACTGACTTTGAAACCTGCACTGTAACATGCCTTTGCCGGTTTGGCTCAGTGGATAGAGCATTGGCCTGCGGACTGAAGGGTCCCGGGTTCAATTCCGGTCAAGAGCACATATATGGGTTGCAGGCTTCTTCTCAGCCCAAGCCCTGGTCGGGGCGCGTGCAAGAGGCAACTAATCGATGTTTCTCCTGTCTTTCCCCCTCTCTTCCACTCTCTCTAAAAATCAATGGAAAAATATCCTTGGGTGAGGATTTAAAAAAAAGAAGAAAGAAACCTGCACTATACTAAAATCTTATTATAAAATAACGGGGGGGTGGGGGGGGGGAGATAACCCTCACGCGCTCTAAAACAAGCTATACATAAAAATCATTCAGAGTTAAAATACTCTTCAAAGCAAATCATAATATAGATTCATTTTTAAGAGTTCTAATCAAAATAATACTCAAAGTAAACTAACCTCAGATAGCTACCAAGTATCGACTCATTTTGCAAACATCCTGCTATATTATGTGAATGCTTGACCACTCTTCCTAAGGGTCATGACCTGATCATCAGTTTAAAAGTAAATTATTTTTCCAGATGATGCCATAAACTGCAGTTTTTTAAAAAGGTTATGCACATGCATAGAGCTACTAAAATTTGGAACCACCACCTCACACAGGCAGAAGGGATCCCATAGGTCCGGGCCCTCTTGCCTTCAGCCACAGGAACATGCACACTCACCTCACCACAGGACAATCGCTGAAGAACAATACCCAACACTACGGCCCTTCTGTTCTCCCACCCTTAGCAGCAAACAAAGAATTTGAGATATCAAGCTGTCAAAACTAAATGTGTACAAAACCCAATTTCAACCACTTCCTCTAACAGGCACACTCCTTTCACAAAAGCTTCGCCACCTGAAGCGCGCATCTGACAACAACTAGGACTTCCCTTAGGCCCGCGCCACCTGTGCTAGACCTCACCACGCAGTGTGCTCTCTTTCCTTTCACCGTTCTCACAGCTCTCTGCAACTCACATCTCTTCAACATCCAGTGACCAAAACTGGACATGCTCCTCAAAAAAGGAGAAAGCTGTTGCAAAGAATAGAGAAAAAACTATATCCATGACCTTGGATGCCGTATTCATTTAAAAATATTTTAGCATCATGTTGACTTTTGACTGACTCATATTCGGCTTGTGGTCACCCATGATTGTGGCTTCCCTCCCTCTTTATTTATACCTAGCCTGTCCTTCTCCATCCTATATTTACATGGTTGCATTTTTCCCTCCACACACCACCTTATATTTAATTCCCTAAATTTTGTACAGTTTTCATAGATCCATTTCCCCATTCATCACAGTACTTTATAGAAATGTTTAAATCTGCAATTTATGATAACTACCACTTATGCCTTAAAAATATCATGACTATGATGTAATAGTCAACCCAACATACATTGCAATTTACAACTAATAACGGCACTAAAGAGAAGACCACACGAATGCCTGCTGGAAACCTACCTCTACTGGACGGTCACTCTTTCCCAGTGCTATCCGTGCCCTTTGCAAGGAACCATCCATCAGCTTGTGAAGTCTCAAAATTAACTTTCTCAGCCCCATCTGCTTCAGTGCTTTGTCTACAAATGGTCGATAAATAGAAGTCAGACAATGTCTGCTACAGCCGGCCTCGGTGCTGCAGTCCGGCGTTCCCCAGCCAACAGCGTCCTCCTCCGATCCGAGCCGCTCCAGCCGCCTGGCGGGGCCGTCCTGCGGCGGGAAGCAGAAAGTGTTGTCAAGGGGCTGCCTGGTTGGTGGCGCCCTTGGCTCAGAGGTCTGTTCTTCACTCTCATCCGAGCTGCTTTCCAACTCTCTCAGTTCTCCTTCTGTGTCATCTCCCTCATCTTCTGGCTCATTGCCTTTGGACGATCTAGGGGAAGAGATTTCAAACACTGGCCAGCCAATGTCTGATAAGTTCTGGATGCCCAAAACAGTGCCCATAATCCTTAATTTCTGATTTAAGTCTTTTGTGATGTTTAACCACAAGCAGAGTGCCTGCACTCTGTCCTGGAAGTCCCTTGCAGCATATTTTTCATAGTCCTTCTGAAGAGCCTGCAACGATGGATAAAGTGCTTCTATGTACTCTAGCAGCTCCATTATCCGCTTTACCTGCTCAAATGACACCCTCTGGCGCTGGAGATGCTCATGGTAAGTGGGATAACCCACAATCCTCGTTCCGTGAGGGGCCGGGCACTGTCCTTCCACCGGGGCACCATTGCAACCAGCTCCGTTTCTAACACAGGCAATGCTCCCATAATTGACTTTGAAAGTAAGGATTTCGTTGATAATATCTGGTATGGCTTGACGGGCTGTATATAAAAAGAGGTCCTGGTCGTTAATGGTCCGTCCCGCATGCCAGGCTTGTAGCTCTAACCAGATGAGCTCATTCGACCGGTTGAATGAGAAAGCAGATGTATTTTCCTGTCCTCTTTGCTCCCTGTCCTTCTTCTTTGAGACTGAGGTAAGCTTTAGCAAAAGTCGTAAAGTTTCAAAAAACTTCAAGCGATCTGCTGGACAGTCGGTCCTGGAAGTCTGGCGTGCAGTTCTCGCGATCGGCATGGGCACAGACACGGGAAGCTTGGCGTTGCTGCAGCCGAGGCTGAGGTAAGGCTTATTGAGATCCACGTCTGGAATCGGCTTTTTGGGCAGAGAGCCGCTCGCCGAGTCCAACATGAAGGAGCACTGCGCGTTTTTCTTATGGTCGCGCTCTGTCGTCCTGATGGCCGCTCGGGTCTTTTTCTCCCCGATTTTCCCAGTGCCTTTATGTGAAGGCTGGGTCACTGCATTTGTTTTTTCTATAAAAAAATAAACATTATATTATTCTAAATATGAAGTTACTCTCAATACTTTCAATAAAACTGATCTTCACATGCACTTATATTTTCAGGCTGTTATTAGAGAGAAAAAAAATCATACCCTATGCTGAAAATTAAAAGAACCAAAAAACATTTAACATTTCTCTCAGTCTCTCAATCTACGAAATGGGAAAATTGTGCTCGCAACTCCTATCCTAAAATACATGAACCAACGAGTGAAGAAAAAGTAGACGTGCTATTGCCATCTTCTCACTTTCCTACCACAAAGCAAGTATGTCTTAATTCTGCTTCATTAGATGCTGCTTCAATGATACTATTTGAGATAAGGAATTTCTCCAGGCATCTGAAAATTTTCTTTTCAGAAAATGGATAATGATTAAATTTAAAGATGAGAAACTGCAATAGAAAGCTATTCTCATTTCCAAAGGGGATAAGGACAGTTTAACATCCTATGGCAAATAAAGTTTTAAAGAAAGTAAAAAATCATCTTCCCTAAGGGAAAGAAAGACAAGTTACACTTAGGAATTCCTCCTTGGATATGATTTACTCAAGCAAACCAATACAATCAAGCCCATTTCTCTTGCCCTCCTTCTTTCTCAAGGAGGGGCTGTGACAGGGAAACTCGCCCCTGTGAGGGGCTGTGTGGCAGACAGAGAGGGAGTCCGGCCGAAGAGAGAGGAAGACACTGAAGAAAGAGGAATGGGAAGGGTCTGGTCCCAGCAAGGAGAACATGCGATGGGGAAGCTTCTCAGATGAGAAGAAAGTGAAACCCTGTCCTGTGCAGTAACAGATGGATGAAAGCCAGGGGGCTGCACAGTCAGTTTCAGGACCAGTGGTTCGCTGAAATTCACAGGGAAATTCTCATGTCTAGGCTTCGGTGATCTGAGTCTGGTGTGAGAAGTCGGGCTCAGGAAGCAGCAGGCCGGCATGGTTTGACCATCTACCTCAGGAAGGAAGGGCCAGGAGGAAGGAAGAAATGGAAACAGAGAACACTCAGCTTCTAGGAGAAACGAAGAGCGCAGGATCTGTCCATGGTATGAGGGTGGTGTACCAGCAAGGCGCTGCGCTGCGTGGCCAGGAGGGCCCCACGTCCTAAGGTAGCTGCACTGTCACGGATGAGAACTCAGGTCGCAGGCGGCCAGGAATCCTGGGGAAGAAAGCCTGGCTCTGTCCCTCCCCATGGCCCACTGCGCCTGTCATGTCTGAAAGACAGAATCCAGTCCATCAGCCTGGGAGGGGCAGAGGACAGGAAGGCCATCTATCTCATTCGCGCGAGGCCACCCTGCATGAGTATGTGGATCCATCCACGCTTGGCCTCTTCCACAACTGTTGTATTCCTTTGTACTCAAAAAAATACAAATGACTTTAGCAATTACTCAGCAAAAACCTTTCTACCTGAGGAGACTTAGTTTCTCCTTTACTAACAAGGCAGCTAATGGTCAGGGTGCATATGGGAGACAACTGCTTGATGTTTCTCTGTCACATCAATGTTTCTCCCTCTCCCTCTCTCTCTCCCTCTCTCTAAAATCAATAAAAACGTATGTGCAGGTGAGGACTAATTTAAGAAGGTATTTACAATACCTTCAATAAAGAAACATAAATCGATTAATCAATCAATCAATCAATAAGGATAGTTATGTACCAGAAGGGCCATGCCCTCTCATGTGGATCTTTCAAGTACAAGACTTACCTTTCAAATTGGAGCGACTGACAGGCCTCCCTACATTATTCCTCTGGTGTTTGGTGGACAGGCGTTTCATCTGCCGAGGTGTACTGGGGGGAGAGGCGCCAAAAAGGTTCTCTGTATTAGTTTCATCTGAAAACTCCTCCACGTCAGAGTCCGAATTCTTGCTAGCCGAATCTCCCAGTGTGCACTCTGGCCTGTGAAAGACAAGCAGCAGAGAAGATATTCAGGCGCAGAAAGCGAACGTAAGCCACTTAAACTTGCCTGTAAGAGCTCCTCACGCCGCCCGCTGTGCTCCTCAGCTCTGTGTCCGCCTGCTGGTGGAGCTCACCAGAACTCTCGCACTCCCAGGAAGCAAGGACTGGCCACGCGGGCGGAAACCATGTGCAGTTTCTGTTGTCTGTAGAACTCTTTCTAACATAAATCAAGTTTAAAACTAAAACTTACAGATTCAGGAAGAAACAGCAAAGAACAAAGAGCACAGCGGCCCGAGGCAGAGCCTCTTTGTGAAGCACACACGGAAGCCGAGGCACACTTCCAGCCAACAGCCCTGATCACACCAGCAAGCCACCCTTCCATGTCCCCGACCACACTCCAGTGCCCGGGCGGGCGAGGGGTGGGGGAGAGGCTGCTGTGGATGAGGAAAAAGGAATGAGCTTGTCTTCACCTTCAAATGCAATTCCTCACTAACCTGTTCTCTGCAAACACTTCCTGCCTCTCCTCTGTCCAGCCAACTTCTCAAATAATAATAAAGTTCTATTTTTGCAAAGCTAACAAAATAAACTGAGAACAAATACAATTCCCAAACAGCAAACTACAAGGAATCAGTCATCACGTTCCTTTCAAATATAGTATCATCAGTCTACACCACTCTGAGTATTCTTTATAAAATGTTTTCTATTTTGTAAACATAACTCTCAACTATCCAAAATATCCAGTGGTTATATTTTCCTGGCAGTTTATATCCTGATATAAAATCAAATCTATTTCAAAATCATGAGAAAAAAATAAAAACCACTCTAAAGTGTATGATACCATTATTATTGAATTGGACTGACAAAACTTCAGAAAATAAATTATCTTTCAACCATAAAAATGCTGCAGAAATATATAAATTTACGGTACTGAAATCTGTAAAGAATCGCTTTGATGGGTCAAAACTTGATTTTTAATCAGGTAAGATCGCTCTAAACACTTTAGTATTCATACCACACATGTGCACCCACAATAAGACATACAAGTGAAATACCCTGAAAGCTAACTAAAACAAAGTAAACCATGAGAAAAATTAGAAATAAGTTAAATGCATCTACTCCCCAGGCTAACTTATTATTTAAGTCTCACAAAGTCATACAAAAAACAATATAATACAGATTATCTTAAAATTCTCTATACCCATGGCTTCTACACGCACAACAGCTGACTCAGCTGATGAAAGGACCGGCTATAAATCAGCGGTTCTCAACCTGTGGGTCGCGACCCCTTCGGCAGTCAAAGGACCCTTTCACAGGGGTCGCCTAAGACCATCCTGCATATCAGATATTTACATGACGATTCATAACAGTAGCAACATGACAGTTATGAAGTAGCAACGAAAATAATTTTATGGTTGAGTCACAACACGAGGAACTGTATTTAAAGGGCCAGAAGGTTGAGAACCACTGTGCTATAATTGATACACGGTAGCTCACTTCCTTCCCATTGGTTACCAGCACAGGTTTTGGAATGATGAACAGCAAAGACTTTGTGGTGTGAGGGACTTGGGTCAAATCCTGCGCGTCTGGCTTATTAGCTGTGTGGGCTTTGGTCAAATTATTTAAAATCTCCACATTGCACATTTACAAAATAAGAATAAATACTTAGACTCCAGACCAGAAGGATGAAATCCAATAATGCATGCTTAATTATAGGAGTAATAATAGATGAGGCTTCACTAAATTATTGCTACTACTCATATTACAGACCTTAGAAATCACTGCACTCACTCACCACCCACTGAGAGAACCCAAGTTCTTTAAGCATCTGCTTGACATTAAGAGAGAAGTTTGCTGCCCTGGCCTGGAGTTCAACTGGTTGAAGCGTCATCCCATACACCAAAAGGCTGCATTTGATCCCCAGCTATAGCATGTGCAAGGGCAACTGACCGATGTTTCTCTCTCACGTTGAGTTTCCTCTTTCCCTCTCTCCCTCTCACCCCCCTCTCCGTTCCTCTCTCTCTAAAATCCATAAATATATCCTCTGGTGAGGGGGAAAAAGGTTAAAAAAAAGAAAAAAGAAACAGACTCATAGATGCAGAGAACAGGCTGATACCTGTCAGAGAGGAAGGGGGTGGGGGGCTGGGTGAAAAGGTAACGGGATTAAGCAAAAAATAACACACTCACAGACACAGACACCAGGCTGGAGATTACTAGAAGAAAAGGGGGTGGGGGGTAAAAGAGGACAAAGGGGGTGAATGGTGATGGAAGGAGACTTGAGACAGTGAACGCAATAAAACATAGGTGATGCATTATAGAATTGTACGCCTGAAACATATACTTTTCTTAACCAGTGTCATCCCAGTAAATAAAATAAACATTTTCTAAAAATTTAATAAAATTTTAGGTCTTTCCTTTTATTTTTCAAAGAAATGATATTTAATAGGAACAAAATAAATTTGGTGCAAAGTTAAAAAAAAGAATTGCATGGAAGTGACGATGAACGCAGTAATAAGAACACATTAAAACAGATAAAGTATAATGCATTTCATCCTTCCTTATTCATTATGCATCACAGAAAAGGAGGTAGGAAAACTGCCATGCGGTACTGCCAGCCTCTTCACTTATAATTCATAATTAAAAAGAATTTTAGGATAGGCATTACACAAAGGTGAGGCTATATATTTAAAGCTTTCTTAGGATTTACTTAACTCAGTCAAGACGGTATTCACCTTGTTGGAAATATTAGCTTACATTCCATCGAAGTAACTTAGTAACTTAATTACATGTCAGAACAAAGGCCAACATTACTTAAAGGAATTTTAAAAAAGAAAAGTCTAGCACCCTATTAATTAAATTCACAAAGTCTGACATCCTATCAAAAATTACCAAAGAAACAGGAAGATATGGCCCAAACCAGGAGAAAAACCCAAAGAAATATACCAGGAATGACTCAAGTGGAAACTATAGACATGAAAAATATACCTGAATTTAAAAAAACACGCTGTATGGGATTAAAACAGATTAGACACAGCAGGAAAAAAGACCAGTCACCTTGAAGACATAGCAACAGAAACTGTCTTAAAAAAAACAGAGAAAAAGATTCAGATGGAAGAGAACAGAGCATCAGTAATCTATGGGGCCATATGAAGCAATGTAATGTATGTTACTGGAGTCTACAACAAGGAAAGGAAGGCATAGAAAAAAATAATCTGTGAAGAAATAAGGGTTGAATAATTTCCCAATTTAAAGAAAACCATTAAGCTCACAGATCCAAGAAGCTCAACAAACTCCAAGCAGAACTATAAGAAAACTACCAGTTTTTTATTATGCATAATCAAATAGCTGAAAACCAGTGAAGAGAAAAAAAATCCTAAAAACAGCCAGAGAAACACAACATAGTTCGGGAGCCTTAGCTAAGAAGCAATACATAATGAGAAGTGGGAGGGAAAAAATCAAGCAAAAGTTTATTCTTTCTTCTTTTAAAAAAACAAAACCATTTACACACAAAATCTAGGAAAATAAATACTAGTGGTAAGTTCAAAAGAACTTGCATCATTTCAATTAACTAACCAAAAGCATCCAAAACCTCATTTGGTATTAACTCATGTGAGCTGAGCTAATGTGGTCAGGTGACTGGTCCAAAATGTTTCCATGGATACCAATTACTTTGGATGAGGAAAGTGGTACATGGTCTACATCAGTTAGCTGTGACATTTGCCTTACTTGTGTTTAAAAACATACAAAGGTGAAATGTCTTTCTGGTACCAAACTTCTGACAGTCACATAAAACAATATTTCACTCTTCTAACAAAACTTTGCTAAAGAATTATTCACTTGACATAAAACCTAAGAAAAGTATGTCCTGAACTTAACCCAAGGGGGGCTGGTGTAGTTTTCAAATTTAAAAAAAAGTGTGGTGACAAGACAAAAATTCAAGCTATGGGGGGGGGGGGGGTTAAATAGTTCTGTTCTGACATAGCAGGTAAACCACATGGCGACTGAAATAGATCGTCTATAAAATGAAGTCGGATTAGCTGGGTTTGAAAATATCTGTGGTTTTGCAAAAGCCCTTAAAATTAACTTCATTAAAAGCTCCTTACAAATAAAATATGTTATGCACTTATGAAGTACAGTACAGTCCTCACCTGGGTAAGATTCTCTCTGCTCTTCCACCTCCCCATTAACCTAGTCTCTATTAAGCAATCATTAAAGGGAGACTTCTGCTTTGGGGGGAAACAAAAGGAGAGGAAGGAAGGTAGAAGGGGTGGGGTTTCAAGGTTTCTTTTTGTAAGAACGTGGATAGTTTGCCTGGCCTGCAATGTAAATCAAGGGAGCTTAGCTAACGCTGAGGTTGCATGGTTGGTTCGTAGTGTAAGTGCCAATTAATAAATCAGCTAGTTCATCTTCACATCAGCCTTAAGTTGAACAGTTATCAGTTAACCTCCAGGTGAGCTGCTGTCAAACCTTAAGCTTCTCCAACATTCCTTGTTAAACTTTCGCATTGATTCAGAGTGTAGGGCAGTGATGGCGAACCTATGACACGCGTACTCATTTTTTTGGTTGATTTTTCTTTGTTAAATGGCATTTAAATATATAAAATAAATATCAAAACTATAAGTCTTTGTTTTACTATGGTTGCAAATATCCAAAAATTTCTGTATGTGACACGGCACCAGAGTTAAGTTAGGGTTTTTCAAAATGCTGACACGCCGAGCTCAAAAGGTTCGCCATCACTGGGTAGGGTCTTTACAAACCTACCTAGTGAGTCTTGTTATTTTTCAGGATAGACAGACACTCAGACTTTGTGTTCTTGTTTTTTTACTGAAATTCATCCTTTTAAAAAAATATGTTTTTATTGAAATTTTTTTGAGAGAGGAAGTGGGAGGGAGAGAGGGAGAGGGAGAGGGGGAAGGGGAGGGAGAGGGGAGGGGGAGGGGAGGAGGAGGGGGAAGGGGAGGGCGAGGCGAGGGCGAGGGATTTGAGAAGCACCGATCAGCTGC